CTAATATGTGATTTTATAGCCGGCGGAGATGAGACCGATATCACGCTGCAGGATTATTTCGTCCGGGTGTGCTTGGCTTGCATCACTGGTGATGCTTCTGCATCTGCCAGCGACGACCTTAACAACAGGGTCTCCCAGTTACATCGTTATGCACTCACCGTCCTCCATAGCTTCCTCATAAGTCACCATGCAGCTCCTCTATCCAACCTTCATCTCGACCACCTCCTGATTGACAGATTGATGAAATCTATTGGAAGCCCGGACCCGTATGTGCAGGTTCTCTTGCTTGAGGTCGTCTTCGACGCGCTTAAACTGCAGGATATCGTTGCGGCAGAGCTTTCGATACCATCGGCTGCTGAAAAGCGACGCTCAAGCGCGGATCCTCTACACGCGGTGCGATTATCCATCTCTGCGGGCGACACAAGACCACCTCCCATGATAATGCCGCCCCAGCTGCTCAAGTGCCTGCAGGCAGGCCTAAGCTCGACAAGCAGCCAGTTTGTTCTAGATAACTGGGTTACATTTCTCGGCAGATGCTTGCCCTTTTATTCTCAGTCCATCTTCCAGATTTTGATACCCCTCGTTGAGACTCTATGCAAGCAGATTGGCGTTACGTTCTCACACTTGAAAGACATGTTTGAAGACGAAAGTTACGAAGTCAAGAGTGAGGCTGGAACTCCGGAATCCACCTTGATCTATCTTCTAAACGCTTTGGAGCAAGTCTTGGCAAAGGCACATGATCAATTGCTAGCTGAAGAAGCTCAGGCGCTTGCCCTGAAGGGTCCTGACCAGCCTCAGTCAATCTTTGGGAGTATGGTATCCGGCGTCTTTCAATCTGATACCCCTCAATCTCGAAGCGCTACAGCCAACGACCGCCTGACTGTCCACCTAGCCTTCCAAGATGCCGTGCGGATGTGCTTCTCCATCTGGACTTGGGGACAGGGAGATGATGCCACCACACAAGACATCAACTCGTCCGCCTCCTTCAACTACACGTCTTTGAGGATGAGAAATCGGGCGAGGAGGCTCCTTGAGCACCTTTTTACGGCAGAAACACTTGAAAGCCTCGAGACTGTGATTGACGTTTGGAGGAACTCAACAAGCGCAACTGACCATGCCACCGTGTTTAACTTTTTAGCAGCCTTGGATGCTGCAAGACCAAGACATTCGATGCCAGCACTTTTCAATTCAATATATAGTCGCACAAACCCGGCTGCGCTGGAGCCTTCCCGGAAATCAACCATGACAATCTCACTTCAAGACGCCGACTTGGTCGTCTTTTTGGTTGAGTACGCCAGGTCACTTGACGACGATGCCATGGATGAGATCTGGCAAGACTGCATAACATTCCTCAAAGATCTTCTGAACAACCCTTTCCCTCACAGACAGACGCTTCCCAGTCTTTTAGAATTCGCTGCCATCTTGGGCGAGAAGGTTGACAATACCAATTTTGGAGAGCAGCGAAAGATGCGCAGGGAACTAGGAGTAAGTTTATTATTGATTGTGACTACGAAACTTTGATCCCTTGACTAACTGCTCATGCCTATAGGACCTCTTTCTAAGGCTTCTTACCGCTCTATTCACTACAAGACCAACCTTTGCTGAGCCAACGAGTTCCAACGGCATGTCGGGACCGAGGCTCGTCAAGGGTGAGCTGGAACGTCGTGGCACATTCCCTGGCGCCCTCGAAAGATCTGACGATGTCGTGGCCATTCTCGCATCCGTTGTTCCAAACCTGCCCAAAATCCTGCTTGAACCCGACCGCGTGCTGTCTGCAGCAGGAACAATATCAACCAACGTTATTGGCCCAACGTTTCGCTCCAAAACATTTCCGGACTCTGTGTCTTCGAGTACCTTGAAGCTCTTGCATGAACTGTCTAGACTGCCGAACAACCAGAAGACGTGGAAGAAGGACGTCGGCGACGCCTTCAACGACAGTAAATTCTTCGCAATGAACCTTGCTCTAGTTCAGAATGACTGGCTGCCATTACTCCGGCAATGGACCTTGACGGATAAAGAGAGGATACCGGAAATAGTTGGCCGTATCAGCGCGCCCTCCAGCGCAGGAATAGTGTTCGGCGTGGGCGCCACCTCTGCCCGTCTCGAGGCCGATCGAAAGACGCAGCTGAACTTGCGGAGGATCGCTACGCTGGTTCTCGCCTCGGCGGACGATGCCTTTGTCACGGACATTCCCGTCATTTTCGACAAGATAGTCGAGCTGTTTGGAGCTACTTCGACGTCATCCCCATCGTCCACGACACGAGCCGAGGTATACATGCTCATCAGGGCGCTGGTACTCAAGATTAGCCCCATCCACCTCGCTAGGCTGTGGCCCGTGGTTAACGCCGAGATTCACTCCGCCATTTCTTCCATCGTGGCTCCGGACCATAGCACCGCATCCGAAATATACGTCTGCTCGGCGATATTGCAGGCATGCAAGCTTCTCGACCTGCTCATCTGCGTTGCACCAGATGACTTCCAGCTCCACGAATGGCTCTTCGTAACGGATACCATCGAGGCAGTGTACAGATCGGCGACGTACCAGCCCGTGGCCCTCGTCGACGAGATTTCGGAAGAACTTGGCGCGACTTCTTCTTCTACGCAGCTGACCGCCGTGACTAGTCATGATGATGCAATGACGGCGGCGCAGATGGCGACGAGCAACAACGGCTCGCGCCGTCTCCCGCTTCTGGCGCTCGGTGGAATTGGTGATGATGCCGGCTTTGAGAGGAAGGATGAGTTGGTGGCGAAAGTTCTTAGGCCGTTCTTTGGCCAGCTTAGCATCTTTGCTTTCGAGTCGACGTATGCCATGGGGGCGCTTGACAGGGAGGCCTGCGTGGAGGCGCTGCTGAAGGATATTTTTGATGATCGCAGTATGGTGAAGGCTTTGTAAATCGAATATTGAAACAACTTTTATCGTCAGAGAGGAGATGGAAATCAGTATGAGATAGATAGAAGCGAGATAGATAGACTTGGAGTTGAAGTTATTGTTTCTTATAAATATATAATAAATACAAACATTTGGTATATTTCATGCGCGTATGTCCTCCCTTCAATTTACACTCCTGCTATTATCCCGGAATCACTCATTTCGTAACTCCCAATGTTTATTATTTCATAGCACATTTGAACGAAGTTTTGCTCTGTTAAGCAAACCCAACAACCTGCCGCCCCATCCTCCAAAACTCCCTGATAAATAGCAAGAATAGATATCATCAAGCCAGAAACAAGAAGATGTTTTTCCAATACGCCACCATATATATATTTGTTTTTGCACCGAAAGTCATCCGAGGGAATCAAATCATACGACAGGCGGCAGTCCAATCATCCTCTCAATAATGTCCTCGTATAGCTGCCTGTTAATAGCCGCGCCAAACTCTATACACCTGATAAAGGGCCTCAGCTCAACCAACAGGGTTGTCAACAGGCCATCGGCAAAGAGCAGTTCGTAAGAATACTTGGACGCCAAGTCGAACCAGATCTGCGCGGGGGAGATCTCAGTCGGGTCAACCTCGAACTGGGCCAGGTGCCAGAGGGAGCTGATGGAGATGCCGGTAGCCTGCCACTGGAAGGTAGGTGCCTGTGTGGTGGTAGGGTCTATGCCTGCGAAGACCTGGCGGTCGGTGAAGATGGATGCGGGTGCGGCATTCATCATGAGGGAGGTCGCTGTGAGGATATGGTTATTGCCTCCCTCAGTCTCGCCGGGGATGTGCGAGTGGAAATCGTTGGATTGGAAGTGGTCCCAGCAGATGTTTTCGAGACTGTTGAAGAAAAAGAAGGGGGGCATGTCAGTCAGGCTCTGAAGCATGTATATAGTCTATCGGCATGGGTTAATGAAACTTACGCTAATATCCAATTCATCACAATCTGTTCTTGTTGAGGAGTAAGAGGTGGCGACGTCAAGGGAGGGTTTTCAAAGCTGGGCGGGCTGGCATAGCCCTGCACGCTGCTGCCAGTGGAAGGGTTGCTGACGGTGAAGCATGGAGTTCCTAGGAGATCGTGGATGCCCAGTGACACAGTGATGTCGTCGACGTTGATGTGGCCAAACATTTCAGCGTCGTTGGAGGTTGAAGGCATCAGGGGGTTTTGGTTCAAGTCTAAGTCTGATAAGTGTCCGCCGGTGAGCCATTCCTGGGTATCCAGCTCGGACATACCACCCAGGCGGGTGCCGGGAGAATCTGTGTTTGAGAAATAGGTAGAGTCGGCTTGTGGATATGTGTGCTGAGTTGGCTCGGTTCTTCTTATTAGGTCTCGGATGCCGTCATTTTCTTTGCGCATCTGAGATGTCTCTTGCTGGGCCTGGGTGATTAGGTCACGCAGTTGAGACACATCGAGCTCCAACTGCTTGACATAGTTTGCCTTTCTCTGTCGGTGTTGAATCTGGGCCTTCCTGACCTGAGCTCGCCGCAGCTGAGCCTTGTCCTTGGCGTCGGCATCCTTGGCGGTTTCGCCCGTATCCTCCTCTGTAGCTCGCAATCTTAGTTCAGCCTCCATCTTCTTCTTCTTGTAATGCACCTTGGACCGGGTTCGTCCAAGCTCTCGAGACGATGGAACACGGCTAAGGTAAGGCATAGCGTGGGCAAAATAGTGTGATATACAGTGTAGAAGCGTGTGCAAGATTCCAAACTTTTAAGTGGGACTCGCCGCCATGAATGGAATCAAGACAGATGTAGTTAACGCCCACAGCCTCAAACGAGATGATCAAGCAGTGGATGAAAAAAAGCATCTTCAGCCTTTTGCTGGAGCGACTGGCTCGTCTTATGAAGATGGAAATGCATCACACCCATCGAGGGTGGTAGTGCGGAGAAAAGGGTTGGACGCTAGCCCGTGAGGATTCCCGTATCAAACTATTCCAAATCACGAAGCACTTGCTCCGGGGATCTGACAGCCGGTGACAACGGGGGAGATTAAGATCAAACTGGTAGGTAACACCTTCTTAGATGATCGACCTCCCTTTGGAATACCCGTAGCACTGGCTACTCGGCGCCTGTAATCATTGAATGGCGCCCCGGATTCCCGATGTGTTGCTGTGGACGTGGCCAATCCTCGTCCTTTCAGCAGTCCAGCTCCCCTCTCGCCCTCTAGCGCGCGTCTCCCCCCAACGGAAGCCGTCTTGGGACAAGCAAAGATGGAATCATTGCGAGATTCAATGGACCAACTCAAGCATAAATCATAGGCTGCATGTACAGGGACGACAAAAGGGGCAACGCGCCATCTGGGAACTCACCAGGATCTTGATCTTCCTCGCCAGCTTCGTCCTGCTGCAGCTCCGCAGTTGACGATGGGCTGGCCGACTTTTTCCCCTTCTTCTTGTGCTGGTCGCCGGCCTCGCTCTTCTCCTTTTGCTTGACTCGCTTCCAAAAGGTGGTGAACGAGGGCCGCTCACCGTCGGCACTTTCCGCATCCGCCATTGTGGTGAATGTGATGTGAATCAATCACAACGCAGCTCGTCTCTTCTTTGGTCAATCCTACGTCACCGAGCAACAGAAGCCAATTGACCTCGACGACGAAATCTCCCCTCCCAAAAATAGCAGGACGCCAGGAAGCTTGTTTCCAAAAGAGAACAAGATGAACAGCTTCCAAATCTCGCCCTTTTGCTCTTCACGGATAGGCCTCGGAAGTGGTGTGGTTGCGTTGTGCTTGTTCGCTGTAAGCAAATTGCCCAGCGATTCACGATGAGCCGGGCGCAACAATGTCAGCTGCTTAGCCTCGAGTCAAGCCTCAAATCAGCAACCCCGAATATCCCGTTTTGAAGTCTGGCGATGCAGATAAGATCGAGTTACCTGGGAGAGCTTTTCGCCTTTGACAAGCTAGTCGTTACGTGTCAAGGTTCAAAAAACGCTGGTCGTGAGAAGGCGCCAGGCGGTCGGTTCGCCTCTAGCGATACGGAGTTACCAAAGTTATTGCCTGTGTGCTGGGCCTATTTTTTTTGCTTCCGGACGGAAGTTGTTCAGCCAATTACCGGACTCGGCTGGGCAGGTACTCTATACATGAGACCGCCCCCGAAACATGCCGCGCCGTTGGCTTTCGTGGCGCTGTAGGCGACTTTGGCGAGCGTAGAGAAGTACGGCTACACGAGCTGTGGGCGCTGAAGAATTCCAGTGTCCGTGCCACCTGCAAAGTACCCAGTACATGCTCATATGCAACTGACATCCATTGATTTCCTCGTAGTGTGCATTTGATGGAATCCCATCACCAGGTACTAGATCTAGTAACATCATCAAATGCTGCTGATCTCTAAAACCGGCGCTGAAAATAACAAAACATCAGGAATCCCTCAACCTCCATGGGCAATTCGTCCTATTTCCCGTATCTACCCATCCAGAGGTACCCGGTACCGCCCTCCCAAGCGGAGATCCCACACGCTAAATGCCGACAATCCCCAAAAATCCCGTCAATGAGATTCCGAGTATAGATACACAAGCAACAACCTCGTCGGGACAAAAAAACAACGAGCAGCTGGAATCCTACCATCCATAACAATTTGCCGATCGTAGAGACCTTAACAGACGCGCGGCACTAGCTGCAGATGTCACCTGCATGCAGGTGCAAATAGTGCCCAAATAGAATGAGAAATGCACTTCTCATGATTTGAAATAAGCAAAGGGGGTGGTATCTGCGACCCTCTCCGGCAGATATGCCCAGGTCGCTATTATCAAAGTATTTCAAATACTTACACATGGAAGATTATTTCAAATTCACTTGCATGCCCTCATCCCCCATAGTGTCGCAAAGCATCCAAAGATCTTTCTAATATTGTATGAATGCTTACTGCATGAGGGAAATATACTATACTGTAGCATCGTGAAAATCACATCATGGCAATCGGCATGGTTTTAACGGGACAAGGAACTTTAAATTCAGCGACCCGCTCCAAATACTACATACATACGCCGCTGTAGACATCATGGCTCTCAAATCAAAGCCGATAACAAGCACTTGTTCCTTTTTGCCAAACTCCTCGCTAATAAACGAATGAAACAATCAAACCCAACGCCAAGGTCCAAATGCACTTTTGCACATAAGCATGATCCCGGCCTCCTCCCCCTCCCTGGTCGTTCCAAAACCAGTAGATCAAAACGAGAGATGCGAAAACAATTCCAAATAAGAAATCTTAGCCATTCACACACATTGCTTTTGTATATCCGGCTTTCTTATCTAATCGTTGCCGTCTTACTCAGACTCCCCGCCGTCGCTATCGGTTGCGGTGCCTTCGTTAAGCTCTTCGTCATCCTCGTCGTCGTCGAATTCGTCACTGTCTTCTTCATCATCTTCTGCATTCAAGCCCGGGATTGCTTTCCAATGCACATAGTCGTTCGCTAGCCACCGTTTGCTCACTGGCAGCTGGTATGGGTCAAACGGGAAGTATGGGTCCAGCTGGTGAAAACTCTCCTCTTGAGTATCGAACCCAGAATCTCTGAGGGCGCCTCCGGTAGAGTAAGTCGACGACAAGAATTGTGTCAACCGGATGCGTTTGTTGCTTTCAATCAACGGATAGGCGTACATAAAGTTGAGTCGATGTGCCAGCTTAGCAAACTCGTCGACAATGACGGGCGCGCACACCTTGAGTGGGTTGAGCTTGCCAAAGATGTGCGTTGAAAGATCTTTTCTCGTCGTGCCAATCCACTCAAGATCCTGGCCAATATAAGAAGCCGGGTCTTCGGGGTCGACAAACTCGGGGGCAGACACAATCAAATCTTGCCAGCGGAAGCAAAAAATGTAGAGCGTTGCTTGTAGAAGGCTGTAGTAAGGGTGGAAGCGCTTGAGATCCGGACCGCGGCAAAGGGGCTCGTATTTCCTGCGATACTGATCCAGATGATGGATCAAGAGCATAAAGATAGTGCGCACCAGGCTGCGCGGCACGAGTGCCCCTCGGGCAACAAAGCTTGCCAGGTAGGCGGCGGCGGCCTGCTTCAAGATATTTGGCGTGTTGCTCTGGAAGGCGCTAGCAATAAGCTGACCGCAAAACGCGTCGGTGAGCCGCTCGTGCTGCTGTGCAAAATGAAAGATGAGGAACTGCGTATGTCGTGATTTGTACGTCGGCAAGACCATTTGGTCAAACTCGCGCAGGATCGTGATGAACATGTCAAACGCCTTGTCTGACCCAGGATTCGCAAAGTGTGGTGTGTAGACGCTGAACAGGGTATCAAGCATCGAGTCCATCTTCTCCACGCTGTCCTTGAGTGTCTTGATTCGGACGGCCTCTTGGTCATAATCGACGTCGTCGCTATCGACGGATTCGGTATCGCTGTCATCATCTGCCTCGTCTTCCCAGCTGCCTGTCTCTTCTTGAGGGTTCTCGCGCAGCGCGTACATGACGGCGGCAGTGATGTCATCGTCCGTGTCTTCCAAATCCAACTGCATCTGTGAGTCAATTTTAACAACGCGATCTAGTATCATGTCGAAAATGTCATCCTGCAAGTCGGGCACATATTCCTTGACCTGAAGAAGGTTGTGGATATAGGCCATGTGGACTCTCATCGAATCGTCGAGGAACGGGAACTTGCTTCTCAGCAGGTTTTCTAACACTCCAACGGCGGATGGGAACATCTTGAGAAGGTATTGTAAGGTCGAATGCAGCCTCTCTCGCATCGTGTCGCGGCTGATCTCGGGGAAATCGGGGACTCGCCATGAGGATGGGCGAGTGTCGTGGAACTTGTCCACGATCATGGTCAAGACTTGGTTGAGGTAGGATCCCTGAGCGCTGACCAGTGCGGCTAGAAAGTGCGTAAACACTTTGACAAAGGCGGCATCTCGCCCCAACCAAGAGCAGTTGAGAATGACCTTGACCAGGCCATTGCAGTCCTTGCTCTTCAGAATAGGGATGCAGCCAGTCAGGGCCATCAGGTAAACCTGCAGCTCGTGAGGCTTCAGTGTATCATCTTCTTCTCCCACCACCGGCGGCAGGTATCTCTTCTTATCGTTGGCGAACATCTCTTTCAGGCCGTCGTACTGGCCGTCGTCTCCCCGGAGGTGTGTCTCGAGCGCCATGCGCACTTCTAACTTGACTTCATCCATTGTTCGCCGGCCGACCTCGTACGTCACATTCTTTATATCGTCGAAGAACACCTTGCGGCGCTTGCTGGAAGCCTCCTGGGCCTCTGAGCCCTCGCTGGGCGTATCGTGCTGGTCCTTCCTGCGACCAAGAGCTGAGGCAGGCTTGAGTATGGATTTGACCGGAGGAGTGCTCCTAGGCAAAGTACCGGGGAGGGTTCTTGGGGCTGAAATGAAGGGTCGCATGGATGGCAATGTCGCTAGCCGATGGCAACGAAGAGCGCAAAGACAAGATGCTAGCAAGATTGATGGCGATTGTCGCGGCGTCCGTTACGGGAATGCAGCGATGAAAGAAAAAGGCTGTTCACTGCGGTTGCCGAGTCCCTTCATACTCAAGCTACGGAGCACTTAAAAAATACAATCAGTCTCTCTCTCGGATAAGCGCAAGCACATGGCTTGGGCTCCAGCTGTAGAAATGCGAAAATAGCCGTCGACTCGAATGTGGTTGAACGATGTGATGCTGGGGAGAGTGACGGCGTCAATGCTGGACATGGATTATTTTTTTCCTGCACAGTAATATGCGTCAGGGAAGATTTTCAATCAAGTGGGGACCCCGCACGTGCCTTGCAACCAAGTCGGCTTAGGCAGCAAAGGTGGTCCATGCGCGCTTCGGAATATTCTTTTGCCTTTGCGAAGCGTCTTTGTTAGACAATGACGAAGTGGTATGGCTTTGACAGGTAACGAAGTGGATGTGAGGTGAGAGCCGTAACACATCAAAATCTGTAGCATTTCCAGCCATGCATGCATTCCATGGAATCCCACTGACGCCACCGCAATGCAGTATCACTTGACTATGTAAGAGTCATTCATGACTCAAATAGAGGCGTCGCTAATAGCTACGTACGATGCGTCATCATGGTGGCAATCCCAATTTACATCGCAACATGAAAAACAAATGACGGTTGATATAAAATGGATATACCTAGTAGCACTAAACTCTTGATAGTACTAGCCCGTAGTAGTAAACTCGTATCGAATATTCCAACTCCGTAACCCACAGTCTGGACCCCATGCATAATCCGTTATCCTGCTTGGAAAAGTCCCGAATTCCCTGCTGTCGAGAAAGATGTATGTCGTATCCCAGGACCGCTCCTGAGTCGACAGGTCAAGCTTCGAGGGAGAATCTACCTGTCTGAACAATCATCTGTAGCTGAAGCCCAAGAACTAAAGAAACAAAAAAAAGAAAACAAAGTTGAACCCATGCATTCGCCTAAGAAAGAGTTGGAATTCTTTCATGTCCCCTCTCTCCTCACTCTTGCCCCATCCTATCCAACTTCAAGTATAAAAGTCAAATGATCAAGCACTGATGTTTTTACATGTCAAAATGAGAGTTGAGAGCCATGATCCGAGAATCAGGAGAGGGTAGAGGTACCAGACCTTGCCATCTGCAGTCCATGGAGGCTATCGGCCGGCAAAACCCCCTTAATAACCCTCTCCAGCACCCGTTCCGTTGTGACCGGCATGAGAAGTATACATGTAGTTCGGATCGGTGCCGCCTTCAGCAGGGTTCGTTCCTTCAGGGGGTGCGTAATCGGCGCTCGTTGTGCCTGGCTCAGTCTTTTCAGCACCCGGGATCATTTGGCCGCCCCAGTTGTTGTTCTCTAGGACGCGATCACGGTTCGATTGATTTTGTTGCTATTTTCCCATCACCTTGTTAGAAAAAAAGAACTGTGAGAAGGGTTGGCAGTGTAGACTCTTTCTCACCTCACGGTACTTTGAGAGATAGACCTTGAGAGCCTCTGCATAGTTCTCGAAGCCCAGCGAAGTCATGGCAAACAAAATGTCTTCTCCGTTGACTGTCTTGCGTTTTTCTTGCTGGCATTTCTCCGAGGCTGAGGCGAGGCGAGGCGAGGCAAGTCAGTATACGCAAAGGCGCTCTCTATGAGACAAAGCCCAGAACACAGACATACCTTCGCTAGTTATGAAGGAGATGAACTCGCTCACACACTCCTGCATGCACTCTTTAGCCTCCTTTGCTATCTTGGCGTTGTCAGGTAGTGCATTCTTCATGATTCGAGCGACTGGAGCAAAGTTGCGAATGTTAGCATCAAGCTCATCGGATTTGTCGGCCTTGGAGGCGCGCGGCGTCTCCTGCACATTAGGAAACAAATGGTGAGGCATAGGAAATATGCGAGGCTGAGAAAAGCGAGCAGCTCACACACATGCGGCAAGCAATCATGATTCGAGAATGGCGCCGAGGGGGGATGATGAAGACATACCATTGGCTATAGGCAACCACCGGTCTTGCTCCTTGACACCTTCAAACTCATAGCCAGTCCCTCCGGCCGAGTGGGGTTCCTGGTTATCATTCATTTGTCCTTCCTCGTCGGGTGACTGTGCACCTTGGTCGACATCCTTTGGAGGAGATTGAGGGGAGTCGGACATATTTGGCTACCTGCAGCGGCTGCTAGCGTCTTTTGTAAAATCTTCGGGTTGGCACAGCTTCGGTAGGTTTCGCGATGATGTGTCCCCCTGGCCACGTCGCAGAGATAGTAGAGCTTGCCCGATACGTCGAGAGGGGTGTGTGCAGTGCGAAAAGATGCGTCAATCGTGACAAAACGCGAGGGATCTAGGTCGCGGCAGGTTGGGTCTGCCCTGGCTGGGACGACGCAGGACCTATGACGCCCGCTTGGCGTATGTATGTATGGGCTGGCAAGCCGGTTGGGAGAGAATATCCCTGGTTGGAGGGGAAAGGCCGGAGGGGGAGGGGTGGCCTTGGTAAAAAAAAAAAAAAAAATAGGGTCCGCAGTCGTAAAGAGCTTCCAGTCGATACGATTGGGGAGCAAAACAACAAAGCTCTGTCCAGGCAGAGCAGCGCTGCAACGAGGGCGTGAGCGAATCAAGCACAAGCACTGCTTTCTCAACTGCTGACGGGTCTCTCTAGCTCTGGCTACGGCAATGCCAGGCGGATTCGAGGATTCACAGCTCGAGCAACAGACAGTGACAAGGTCGACGGGGGTGCGCCTTGGACAACAGACGAGGTCTTCGCGTTGCAAACGGCTTCTGGGACGGATTGGTGGCGCGGCCCAAGTTACACGGTCGCGCAGGGTTCCGGGTCGTAAGGCGACTGGTTCGAGGTCAGAACAGGAGGCTCGCGGGGGGGAGTCTGGGAGGCGTCTCACGAGGGTGTATTGCGCTGTTTGCTTCTGCGGCTGGCGTGGGTGCATAAGTGTGAATGTGGATGTGGAGTGCAAAGAGGAAAAAGAAGGACGAGGCTAGTGGTGGACAGCAGCGCGGTGTTGTCGGCCGAAATAACAGCGGGAACCTGGCGGGCAGGTAGCGCGATACTTTGCGCAGCTAGCCCGGTACTAAGGCAGCTGTCTTTGGATGGGCAGCGCTGCAGTGACAGCCTTTTGCAGCTTTATCGATAGAGGGGGGAAACAAAGGCGCGAGGTACCGCTTCATACTGCGCTGCGTGCTGCGGTACCGCGAGCGAGTGGGTTGTTGTTGCCCAGCAGCAAAGCTACCTTGGGCAGCTCGATCTGCACTAGCAGGGCGGGTATCTGGAGCTGAAGCTGACAGTACCGGGTTACTTGCCTGCTTGGTATCGTTCAATATGTTTGGAGCCATTCAAACATTTCGACGCTGACCACTTACCGAGCAGAGGTACCTGGTGGCTCTTGGGACATGCGACACGATCTACCTATGCCGGCTTAGTATGATGCTACCCATTACCTGAAAAGTGGTGATAGCATCAGCTGCCAGACTACATCGGTCCTCGATTAGTACTGGCTGCCATCAATGAGAGCTACTACTCATGTATTCTCCAGGGAACAAGTACTATAGTTAGCAGCCCGTGTAAGCGTGGCATCCATCTGTATGATAAATCCAACTGGGTTGGCAGTTGCAGCAGCATTCTCCATTACGAGAAAATCCTATTAAAAAGAACCAAAAAAGGCCCACCGCATATGTATGCGCTCAAATCACCAGACCACTCAATCCGGACACCCCGGCTCGACATGATGCTGCTTTAGAATGCCTCATGTGAGCCTTTAACCACGACCAACATCACCCTACAATTGATAATCCTCGTCCCAAGTGCGTCTTTTGCTGGGCTAAAACTCCCAAGGGGGGGCCGAATGGTCGTACCAAGGCATCAGAGGCGGTGTGTTACAGCAGCTATCCGCGGTGTCCTCTCTCTTGGTGGCATCAGCTAAAAGGCCTTCGGATGATATTCCTGCATCGGGAGAAAACAAAATGGCATCAATGGCATCTTGACAGAGTCTAGCAGCCAGCGAGAGCCCTCCCCCCTGTCCTGGCGCAGCGAAAAACAGGCCGGTGAGCTTGTACCAGCTACCCTGTCCTGCGATATGCCGTGATACAGGCATGGTCAGCCTCGTGGCTGTGACGTCGTCGTCGCAAACGAAACTGCATGCCAGCCCATGAAGACGGTACCGGGATGGTGGGTGACTGCAGTTGCTCATTTGGCAATGGATCGCAGGCCATGGCCAGAGGCCGCTAAGGCAAGCCTCTCCTCAGGAACCCGGTGGCTGAAAAGTCGGGCCCCCAAAAAACGAGTTGTCAAGTCATTGGGCCGCATTTCAAGTCTGCCCAGTGGTTGGCTGGTGACCGACGCCGGGCGGGAACGAACCACGGCCTGGCTCTCGACAACCACTCGGGCATTGGGCAGTTGTTTGGGCCAATGGTGACGTTGGCGCTGCGAAAAGGCCCATCTGTTGGTTCTTTTCTTCTTTCTTCGCTCCAGGCACAGCTCCGCCAGAGACGGCTGCATGCATTCTGTGGTAACCTCTGAAAAGACGGCATTTCGCTCTGTCTAAGCACTTCGAAACGGTGCCCCTAAGCTGCCGGCGGTCCGCAGATTGATTGGGTAGCGAGCCCAAACGTCCCTCGCCCTCCCATTCTGCCCATGTCCCTGTGCATGGCTAGACGGAAGGATGGCGGGCTTGCTTGATGGATGGATGGGTGCTGAGCTGGCTTGAAGCCCAGCTGCACCCGGCTTGGGCATGAAGCACGAACATGCGCATAAACATCCGTTTCCTCGATGCGTCCAAGTTCAATCCTCTCCCGCCCGCGTGCTTTCACTTGTTGGGGTTGGATCCTGCAGGCAAGCTAAGCCCATTTGATGAGTAGTAGCTCTCATTGCGCATGTACGAGAATTTGTGGCATTTGCCGTCGTCGATCGACTTGCTCTCTGTCTAATCTGTGCGTGTGAGGAACCAGAAGGTTACAAACACCACTCCGTATCATGTTTCCCCGAGTCGCTGGCGCGCTGCATGACAGATGCGAGCAATGCATAATGGCGGTAAGTGTCATCGTGACATGGAGACGGGTTACAACACTCGCACAACGTAAGCATCCCGGGCATCCACAGTTTGCAGTTCGCAGAAATCGTTTCATGTCCGTAGCCGCTACTGGCTAATCTAGTAGCCTTTCGTGCGGCGTTCAAGGCACACAAGATGCAAGTAGTTGTCAATGAATGCATATCTAGCGGCTTCGTTTCTTCCCCCTTATTTGCTTCTGGGCCTCTTCGTCCCACTCTAGCCTGGCGACGTAACATTCCAGAAACGATTCCACGCTTCTTTCATGAAAAAGTCTGCCCTAGTGGTGGTGTCACGAGCGAACATACGAGCCACGAGGAGGGGGGATGAGAAGTAGTGAGCACCCCACTCCTGCATTAAGCCGGCTTGACAACCCGCAGATGGGTCCCCATGTATGTCCTTAAGAGATTCTCATGTGTAAGTTGTGTGATTCTCAAATATCGATGAGGTTGATGGAGGGTGACTGCTACCCTGAAACCCGTTAGATGAAGTGTTGTCATCATGGCTTGCCACTTGGCAGTGTAAAGTCGCATCTCAAGAGCTACGCAGCATACATGTATGCATTGGTGATGAAATCTCCGAGAGGGATGCCACATGCGTATCCGAATGCTCGCTTCAGGCTCGGTGATGAAGGAACTCTTCGATGTAATAGCATATAGTGCGGCTGACGCTGGCGAAACGTTCCGATTGGGCTGCGGCAATGTAAAGTGATTTGTACGCATCTAGACCTCCCCTGAGACTCCGATTGTTGGGAATCCATATATTGAAAGGCACACCGAATCGCACAGATAGACCCCTGTTTGCATCACTGTAATTAATTCTCACACGCTGCGCGTGGCCCAAGGTGCGGATACGGCAAGGTGGAGGCTGCATGCAGTTGGGCTCTGAGGCACCATCAGCAGAAGGATGAATTCCGAGCGGCTGAACAACCAGGCCTCAAGGACCATTTGAATGCCAAGGCACTGTTTCTGCGTCGTTCAGGGGCATGGCCACGTAGAGCTGGATGGTGTGGCATAGGCAGCTGTATGCTGACGAGGAAAGCAAAATGAAACAGATAGAGGTGCATTCGCAACTGAGGATGGACGGCAGAATCCACGTATTCAGCCGCTTCGTGAAATGGTTGGGCTCTTGCTTGGCCACGAAAAGTTTTTCCAATTTTTTTCTCCTATTAGATGACATAGTCTCTTGTGTACTTCACTGCTGTACTACCTGAACATTGTTCTTCTTCTGTTGGTTTGGCAAAGAGAGGTTAGCTTTTAGTTGGACTTTGACAAGGCACTGGACGCATTGGATACGAACCTTCCACTTATCTAATTCATCCTGCTTGTTTTTGTACTGCTTCACCAAATCATCGAGGACTTTCTTCAGTCCCTCCTGGTTTGTCTTCAGTGCTGGCACGACGTCCTTGACCGTTCTCTCCACGAGCACTCCGTTGATCAAACGGAAACACTTTCGATCCCCCGAAAGCGGCTCCAAAGTCTCAAGCACAAGCCTAGAATAGTCGCCGAATTAGCGGTGTGATACATTGAGTCACGCTGAGGCTGAAAATGAGCGGCGTGGACAGGGAAGGGATGAAACACGGCTTGGAGGCGTGGGGGTTGACATCTCAGAGCACAATAGACCCAAAAAAAAAAAAAAGCAATAGAGGGATTGACGAAAAGGTGGAAAGAAGAACGAACTTGTGCTCTTCTGCCTCTTGCTCGATATCACCGATTTTTGAGGCAATCTGCTGCAGTGTGTTCTTGTAGTTGGAGTAAGTTGTCTGAAGATCTATGAATATGATTAGCAACGTGAGATTGAGATAAAGGAGGGGATGGCAGCAAAGGCAAGAAAGAAATGCCCGTGGAATGGATACCTACCCTGCTGCTTCCTCACGGGAAGCTGTTGTGATGACGCCATGGCTGCCGCTGTGAGAGGAATATAGAGAAAGGCCGTAAGAGAAGGGCCAGCTATCCCTGTGATTCACTATGCGAGATGTTGAGGCAGAGTTTCTGTGGCTGTAGCCTGTAGACCATTGCTATCAACGTTAGGTGGGCATCGGTTGATTTCCGGCACTGTGGGCGGCAGCTATTAGCGGAAACCCCCCGCTAGACGCAACGCCTAATTATTGCCTGTATGGTCCAAGCTTTTTTCTAGATGCAACATCTGCTGATGAAATAATTGCCCGATCTTTTGTTGAAACGAAATCTGCAATTCCACTATCTTGCTCTCCGCATAAACGAAAATGCATCCTCATCTGCACACACAAAATGCTATGGGTATGCTAAATGTCTCTTGAAACATCGTTTCTTCATCCATTGATCTAACTGAGGTGTCCAGCATGCCAGGAGGTCATTGCCGCTCTCGAAGAATGCCATGCGAAGGGCTTCATGCACAAAGCTGCAGGCGCCTGCAACGATGCCAAAGACTTGGTAGACAAGTGTCTGCGACAGCAGCGCTCCAAAGTACAAGACGATAACAGAGCCGCTGCAAGGGCGAAGAGGGATAAGATCAAAGAAGAGCAGCGAGCGCTTAGTCTATAAGAGATACCGATGGACGTACCCGAGTTCTCTCCATTTCGCCGCATTCTCAACTCATTTCTACATTCAAATACTTTTTATTTTGTACATTATCACCATCTAGTATCATTTATGACCGGCGTTGGGGGAATAAGACGGGCAGCCGGAAGATAGGCGCTACGTCTTGTCAATGTACATATATATTCTCATGGAGCGCAAAGCAGGGCAGCCGATGGATCAGGACACCGCTTGAAAGAAAGAAAGCCTTGATTTGGGACTGTCGAATTGCTGAGGCTTTTACCAGCTACATATCCACCAATACATAAACACACAGACATTCCTCCATCCAATTAAGCTCTGCGCAGGGCAGTGCCAAAGGTGAAGAGACCGTAAGCGGACAGGATGCTGAGGAAAATAGGTACAGGTTTCCTCAGACGGATCGCTCGAGGGAAAGCTGAAGCTCCGAGAACAACCGAGGCGAGCAGACTCAACTCCACACCGTAAGGCTGACCATTGGCAATGCGATATCCGCCGAGACCGTCTAGGAGGACACATGGATGGGTTAACACGCCGGTGCTAGGGTTGGCGCTGGAATTGATGGACTACATACACAAGAGACCAACGAGACCGCCGGCGGCGATTGAGGGAACAGAGCCCGTCTTAGCATAGCCAATTGCGCCGCCGCCGGCTGTGAGAGCCGCAAGGACAAAGGACGCATTTGACAGCGCGGAAGACGTAGTCTTGGACTGGCGCAAAAGAGAGAAGGTCAGCTTGCCGGACTCGCGATGCGCATTGAGCACGATTGACGTACCACCATGATGAATTGTGCTGTATATGAGAAGCTACGGATTGTATGTATCTTGATGAGATTCAAGCCTCGCAGATCAGCTTTATATGCCGGGATGGAGAAGCTGGCGGCCTTTTAAGTCCCGAATCCAATCGGGGCTCGGAGTCGAATGAGGCCGCAAACCAACTGACGTGATTGAAGTGATGGCAAGTGGGTTGCCAGGCCCCCCCAGATTTGCGAGCCAATCACAGCTCGCCGACCTGCTTGGAGCTTTCGTGGCCGCAATTGTACCAAAGTACCTAACAGGTAGCGCTACGACTACAGTAAGTTGCTTCCCAGCCAGCAATTTGAAGATCGATATCATCACGAACCTCGTTTTCCCTCTCCAGACGAACGTCCAACATCGCCCGCCATGGCCCCCAAGAAGAACGCAGCCCAGCCGGCCCCCTCAGCCGCTGCGACCTCCCAATCCAGCACCACGGCGGCGGGCTCTGTCCCAGCGCCTGTGGGAGCAGCGCCAGTCTCGACGCCCGTTTCCGCGCCAGCAGCCAAGAGCGCCCCGGCCAACTGGGACAAGGTGCTGCAGAACATCTACAGCTATTACATGAACGAGACGCCGCAGCGGACCAAGCTCATCGACGTCTTCCTCGTCTTCATCGCCGTTGTGGGCGCATTGCAATTCCTCTACTGCATCCTGGCTGGCAACTACGTGCGTTCCCCAGCAAACTGCGGAAGCTTGCAAGCATTGGGCACATTGACATTGCTAATCAACGTCGCAGCCGTTCAATGCTTTCCTTTCGGGTTTCGGAGCAACCGTTGGCCAATTTGTTTTGACGAGTGCGTAACTTTGCTACTTGTTCGTGTCGATTACAAGGTTCTAACTGGAGCTATAGTTTCGCTGCGTATACAGACAGCTGCCGTGAACAAGAGCGACTTCCCAGAGGTATCACCTGAACGGTACGATTCCCACCACCAATCGAGCTAGATATATGCGTCCACATGTGTATATAAGTGTATCGATCTCGTTGTGCTAACTTGCGGCCGCAGAGCATTTGCCGACTACGTTGTTTGCAGTCTGATTCTACATTTCTTCTGCGTCAACTTCATCAACTAAACAGCGATAATGCAGGGAATGCGCGGTGGAATGGCGGCTTTGATTAACTACGTGTCATGAGCCGTGTAATACAAAGTAGCTTCTTCAATCATACCTATTCATGTAGGAGAGGAGGCTTATACGGGAAAAGTAACTTGGTCCTAGCCAAACAAATAGGGAATCGTTTTATTACCAGAGCTATATCAAGACGAAATTTGATCTTCATCATGCTCCGCCACCATCTACCGCATCTTCTTTGGGCTCGGCTTTTGGTGGACCGCTGGCGCCTTTGGGAGGCGGTGGTAGACCTGTACCCTTGCTTTTAGGTGCATTATCCAGCGCCAAGCTCTTCTGCTCTTCTTCCTTAAGATAGTCATCCATGAAATTGTTGTTGGGCGCGTGGCGTTCTTTCTTCTTTCCACCTCGCGGTGTCCCACCTCGTGGAGGCGCACTCCCTGGCGCTGCACTGACTATTTGCGCGGGCACCAAAAAGTCACCGCCTGTTGGTGGTGGCGGAGGGCTAGCTTGTGTCGCGATGAATTCTCCTCCGCTCTTCTCGTTATACTCGCCGTCGAACATTGTCTCGCCAGGGGCGTTGACAGGTTCGCTCAATGGAGCTGGCAGCCGGTGCAGCGCTCCGTAGCCCAGAGTGCATCCCAGAGCCCCATCCCCACCCCAATTTCGACTAGGCTGTATTGTGACTTCGCGCGATACGTCGTACTCGTTGTTGTAGACGTATAGTCGCAGAGGCCGCCCGATGAAGTCTTCCACGAGCTCACCGAGAGCACTTTCACCATGTAGGGCGCCTTCTGGGCTGCCGAGAATGTAATCGCTATACGGTAGTAATCCGGCAAGATCGGCGGGTGAATTAGCCGGGACGTCAAGGACATGCCAGATATTAGCTGCAAGCGAGATGGGCGCGAACTGGAGGGAGAGCCCAAGAGCTGCAGTATCCACGGGTACGGGAATGTGCATTTCCCTTATTCGTTGACCCTATGCGATGTCAGATTCCTCGTCCTCTTCTCCTCTGGCCTGCAATAATTGATCCTCACCTTTGCGCTCCATAATCCAAACGTCACTGTTCCGCCGGCGCAGTTCTGAACCTCCTGCGCAAACAAGCTCGGGTCGGGGTTATCCTGCACTAGTCTCAGCATCTGATCGCCTGCTAATCGCACAAGGCATTGACATATACGATTGGCCTTCCATTAATTCCAACAATATAATCAAACCAAGGCTCAATTGGTAGATCGAGGTTCGTGTTTCGCAGCACCTGGAAGCCAAACGAGTCACGATCGTGTTGACGTTGCGGGGCATCGCCATCCAGGCGGGACATGAACCGGTTGAGGGCGTTGAACATGGTCACTGAGACTGTTGCCCCGCTTCTGTGCGCGGGCGAGGCTTAAATCTGGGCGTTTTAGAGTTATGATGCTGTATTATCACTCTATCGGACGAATGGCGTTGCTTTGTGAGTTTGATGCCGCGAAGATGGTTCTTGATAAGAGAAGAGTGACGTCTGGCCTCACCCAAAGAGAGCTTGTCGCAAGCTGTCCCTAGAGGTGTCAGCCTTGCATGAGTGCCAAGGCGCTAGAGCATCAAACGCGAAATAAAAGTGGATCCGATCGCAGCTGATTTCTCAGCCTTGTCTTTAAATTCATCTGCCGTTGTACATGGGCAATTCTTCTCCGATCAACAACACCCAGAAATCGACATATAATCTGCTGACAACTGTAATATTCGGCCAAGCTTTTTATATATCGCACCCAAAGCTAGGACGTTTTATGAAGTTCGTCCCTTTTTAAAGTTACCTGCTTTTTCCACTCACATTACTAAACACACTTCATCGACGACTTCTTATCGACGTGAACGAGGCTGCATCTCCCGCTTCGGCAGCCCATTCATCGCGCCACGGCTTATCAAGAGACATCATTCTAAGATGTCTGCGGATGAAAATGTACCCGCGGATGCAATAGAGCAACAACTTGCGCGCGATATGCTCGGTCCTTACGTGGATGCACCAACCGCCCAACTTCTCTTGCCGCAGGCCCGTCAGATGCCCCAGATTGCGTGGCAGATTATTAGAAACGCTCTGGAGCAGAACCCACACGCAAGAGACGATATTAATTGCCTAACGGAACTATTAGCGACCGGGGGCCAGGTAGCAAATGGCATCAATACGGATCGCCTTGATACTAGTGCAGTCGCGGAGCCCTCTAACTTTTCACTAAAGCCTGCCGAAAGGCTTCCCTTGACGGATGAATGCCACCACTACACAGGCAAGCACGAGGTCCCCTGGGATATTCAGAAGTTGGTTTCCTGTTACGCGGAGTCTTGTTTTCTCAGAGTGCTAATCGAGCTTGCAGATACTTTAGCCAACGGTACTCAATCTTCTCGTATTATGATAGTGGAGTTCACATGACCGATGATGCTTGGTTTGGTGTTACACCCGAGCCTGTAGCAAAGTAAGTTCTGAAATTGGATACTTTTCCGTACTTCTCTATTCTTCTTTGTCGCCACCACTGACACCCATCCCAGCCAAATTGCGTACGAGCTCTCTGAGGATCATTACGACCCAGAAAAGACCATTCTCATCGATGCGTTTGGCGGTGCTGGAGGTAATACCATTGCGTTTGCTCTGTCAGAGCGATGGAGTCGCATAATTGCTATTGAACGAGATCCTGCAACTCTTGCGTGTGCCCAGCACAATGCCGAAATATACGGCGTTGAACCAGGTTCAGTAACTTGGATTCTCGGTGACAGCTTTGAGTATCTTGACCAGCTGGTTAATAGCCCGGAAAAGCTACACCCAGACCTCAGAGTTGATTTGCAGACCACGATGGTGTTTGCCAGCCCTCCTTGGGGAGGGCCTGGGTATAGAACCGATGAGATATTCGACCTGAGCACTATGCAGCCATACAGCTTGAATCAGCTGCATGAAGCGTATAAGAAAATGGATCATGTGCTATTCCTTCCGAGGACAAGCGACATTCGTCAGATTGCGAAACTCGCGCCCGAGGGGGAAAAACTTGAAGTCATCCAATACTGCGCAGAAGGGGCCAGCAAGGCCATGGGCGTCTATATACCAGCAGAGAAACCGCCAGCATCTAGCGACTGACCTCTCGTCTTTTTTCTTTGTTTTTACGATTAATGAGCGTTTTGTCAGTACATGAGGCGAGAGACTTGCAATCTATACCCAGTGTATGAGTTGGCGTGCAGCATCGTGTTGTAGCGGGCTCATTCGCAACTTGTATTTTCCAGATCACAGAGGATTTATGTTATTTTCTAACTTTATTTTGGTTTATATAATGATGTAGATTGACTAAACATATTCCCGATGAGAGAACTATGCGTTCCCATGTAGGTAGTGGTGTTTGTACATCATTATACAGGGAGGTAATAGGTCTTCTCCAGGGCACATGTAGGCGCTGTTACAATCGATGTCCAGACTCAAGTTCGAAAACATGGCTTTAGATAAACATTTATACTGAATTTTCTGGATGAATTAACCGTGAGCTTATTCCGAGATTAAACGTAGCCAGTAATATTAGCATCGCAACTAAATCATGCATAATATACAGTCTAGATAGAAGCCCTTTCGCACTGTATGTGATAGGATTTTCCACTTCTCTTCCAACCAAAGCGACCCGCTCAATTCAAGACTGTACTCATTTTATTTCCCTAAGCGTGTACTTATACCGCCTGTTTTCTTTCATTCATTATTTAAAAAAGAAATCTTCATCATGGCCAAGGATAAGAAGAAAAACAACGACGCCAAGAAGGCAAAAAAGGTGAGAAACATCGAATGGGAAAATCTCAACCCAGAATTACCCCTCCAAATTCACCAAGAAAATCTACAAGTATTGACTGAACTGCTTATGTAGGCCGAGAAGGCAGCCAAGCAAGCCAGCAAGGGTGAGAAAAAAGTCAAGAACAAGACTGCCAAGCTGGAGGGCAGTGATGCCGAGGATGTCGACTTGGATGAGGTGCTGGAAGAGTATCGCCGCCAGCAGGAGCAGTTTCTGAAGATCACAGAGACGGTTGTCGATGGGCCTCCGAAACCTCGAGCGGCATCAACCATTATGGCCTCTCCTCATGAAAGCAACAGCCTGCTTTTGTTTGGAGGAGAGTATTTCAACGGGTCGATTGCGCAGTTCTACAATGACCTACACATATACAACATCAACCGTGATGAGTGGCGCTGTGTGACTTCCCCCAACGCACCGCTGCCACGATCTGGCCATGCCTGGACCAGAGCCTCGAACCCGAACTATGTGTATCTTTTTGGAGGAGAATTCTCATCGCCGAAGCAGGGTACTTTCCACCATTATTCTGACTTCTGGAGGCTAGAGCCTGCGACAAGGGAATGGACCAAGATCGAGGTCAAGGGCAAGGATAAGAGCCCGCCGGCGCGAAGCGGCCACCGGATGACTTATTGGAAACAGTACATTATCTTGTTTGGAGGCTTCCAGGACACATCAAACCAGACCAAGTATCTGGCCGACTTGTGGATATTCGACACTGTCAACTATGTTTGGCATTGCCCTGTTCTTCCGCCCGCCCAGCTCAAGCCTGATGCCCGTTCATCTTTTACCTTCCTGCCCTCTGAGCAGGGCGCTTCCCTTTTCGGAGGCTATTCGAGGGTCAAGGCCACGGTGCAGCTGAAGAAGCAAAAAAAGGGTAATCAGCCCCAAGGCCAGAAGAACGTCCTCATACCCAAGGTTCACGAAGATTGCTTCTTCCTTAGGATGTCTCTGCCCCCAACCGATGCGAATGCGAATACACCACCTGCTGTTAGATGGGAAAAGCGAAAGAAGCCAGCAAATGCACCTACCCCTGTTCGCGCTGGCGCTACAATGGCATATCACAAGGGCCGTGGCATCCTTTTTGGCGGTGTTCACGACGTTGAGCAAAGCGAAGAGGGCATGGACAGCGAGTTTTTCAACCAGCTCTTCGCGTGGAATATCGAGAGAAACAGATTCATGCCCCTCGTTTCGCGCAAGCCGCGCCAACAGAAGAAGAATGCACCCGAGCAGCGAGTTGGCAGACGTGGCCGTGCCCAGGCAAACGAGGAGGAGCTCCTAAAACAACTGGCAGCACTGCAAGCCGGAACCTCGTTGGAGGATATTGACGATATCGAGCTTGAGAAGATGCTCGCCGAACCAGAGGAGGAAGAAAAGCCTGCTAGGGAGATGCCTGTGTCTATGGAGCCGCCGCACATGCGCTTCAACGCCCAACTAACAGTTCAGAACGACGTGCTCTTCATTTACGGTGGTACTTATGAAAAGGGGGATCGTGAGTTTACATTCGATGATCTTTATGCCATCGATCTGGTGAAGCTGGATGGATACAAGGAGATCTTTAACAAGCCCGTCGAGGACTGGATTGTAAGTCTTGGGTCCTTTACTGTCGTTGCATGTGAAACCCATGAGCTAACCGAAATATTTCAGGAGTCTGAGGATGAGGAGGACGAGGACGAGGATGAGGAAGACGAAGATGAAGAGGAGGATGAAGACGATGAAGATGATCAGGAGGAACCAGAACAGCAGATTCGCTCAGAAAGCAAGCGCAAGAAGAAGCAAGACGAAGTATCAGAGGTGTCTTCCGAGGCACCTACACCATCAATTACGTCGGAAGAGGAAGAAACCGAAACAACTGCCATATCGGTCGACGATGGCCTGCCACACCCAAGAGTAAGTCCTTTATCTCCTTTATCATTGCAATCCTTGTTCCACGTCAATTTCTGGTTAATATCTAACGATTTCAATCCACTTTAGCCTTTCGAATCTCGCCGCGAATTCTTCGTCCGCACTTCCGCAGAGTGGCAGGAGATCCTCATGACCAACCTCCGGTGGAAGAACATCCAGCCGGAGACGCTCGCCATCAAGGAGATCAAGGCCAAGGCGTTTGAGCTCAGTGAGGAGAAGTGGTGGGACTGCCGCGAGGAAATCACCGCGTTGGAGGAGGAGCAGGAGGCGGCGGGCATTCAAGAGGTGGTCAGCCTTGCGGAGAGGGGAGATGCCGGGGCTGTTGGAGGTGCAAGGAGGAGGTAAGAGAGGGAAAAAAGGATGACATCATTTGGCAGTTGGTTTGGTTTGGATCAAGGCTAGTGTGTGTATGTAGCGTGTTGAGCTATTTCAGCTTGGATATCCCCTTTCTCATCATCTATCGCTCTTCATCTCAGTAACTCCTATAGGATCCAAGTCATCCCATATTTACGCCAACCAACAACGATCCACTAAAGAAAAAAGAAGGAACTAAACATCATCTTCACCAACGCCCTCACTCTCTTCCTCCTCTTTTCCCTTCTTCTCCTTTCCCATGTAAATCCGCCTCAACAACCCCCTCTGCAGACCACACAGGCGTCTTCCCCCTCACCCACAACACCATGCCCGCAATCCACCCAACTAGTCAGTTGGCCGACGCGGCCATGGGAGGATACTGCTTCCCATTCTTCTCGACTTTGGGCTCACAAGTGCACCACTCCTTCTCATCGACCGAGTCCAGCACACCGGGGATGTGGTTTCCGCAGCCCCACCAAGTTGCCTTGTCTAAAGTGACCGTATGTAAGCATAAAGCCCTGTCAATGTCCCTCTCTGAGAAAGATGCAAATCATAGTGCAGTATCTCAGTTATGAGAGTCTATAGAGGTGTAAGAGAGGGGGTAGTGAGTGAGTGGTGCTTACGGCAGTTGTTGCAAGTAGCACTTCGACACATGATGCCCTTTTTTATCTTGATGTGAGGTAGAAAAATGAGGAGTGAAAGCTGCGTATGTAGTTCACAAATGTTATAGACTTATCAGTTAAACAAGATGCAAGTTGATGACTTGTCCAGTTCCGAAAAGAAGGAAGAGAGAGGCCTAAATAAAGAGCAGAACGATAAGAATAGAGGCGGCAAAAAAGCCCGCGGTGGCCGAGCGGATCGCCGGCCGGAAAGCTGACCAAATCGGCGAGCCCCGCCCGGGCAAGATACAAAGGTACAAACGATTTGGTAAGCCAGAACGGCGACCATTTCTGCAGACATCGCCGTCTTCCTCTTCATGTCTGATTTCTTGATTACTCTACATCATGTCCGGCTTCTTGATTATTCTGCATGAATCTTCTCGAAGGATTTGTGAGGTGGCCAATTTGATTCATGATTAACAGCAATTACTCAATTTCCTCCGAATTACCATTGTTAGTCATAATCTCCCCTTGTTGCTTCAGCCAAACTTCCCCGAAATTCCCCCTTCCGACTCAGTTATTCTCTGATATCATATCACTACCATCATAAACATTACCCTTCCTTCTCCTTCATTTCTCCCAGAACACCAAAAAGTCCTGCCTAAGAGCGTTCTTTTCTCCGTTCCAGCAAGTCCTCGGCGCCATTGCATTAATACCAATTACCAATACCAACACCACTAAATGCTGATCCAAAGCTTGCATAGCTACTCATAAAAGAAAAAAAGATTAGGACTCCACCTCCGTCGCCTTTTGCTTCTTGGCAACTTCGCTCTCCACAATGGACCGGATGAGATTGACGGCTAGTTCTTGGCCTTGTTTGATCACGGCTTCAGAGCTATCCGCCGGCACGTGGAAGAAGATGACCTTCCTCTCCTTGTCCTGCTTGTAACAGGTTGCCAAGCTTGAATAATAGATGAAGTCGCAGAGATAACGGCCGGCATCGTCAGAGATTCGAAGATCCATGTCATTCTGCGTAACATCATGTCAGTAATGGCAACGTTCAAAGGCCAGGACGTCAATATCAATATCCTTACCGAGCTGTGCTGCTGCCATCTCTGCCAGATGTCCTGTATATTCAAGTCCGTCTTGAGCACATCCGGTAGTTCATGCCAGATCCACTCTTCGTCCCGTTTCCCATCAAGCTCGTCAAGGTGCTTCCCATCCACGTCGAGAGACTTGTACCCCGTACGATGTCCTCGACTCTCGATCTGGTACATGAGCCGCGGCCCTGCCATGCCAATGTGAATGACAACGTCAATCTTGCGGCCCGCGTACGTCTCCTCCCACAGCGTTGGCACAAGTTCCCTCACCACCTTGTAGTTGACTCGGATGGGGTCGGGGTGCACCAGAATGCGCACAGGCGGAATGTCGACGGCATTTCGAGAGTTTGGGTCCTTGGCCCTTAGTGGAGGGAGGTATTCTGGGAGGGCTCTCGCGATTTCCCATGACGGGTTGATCGGATATTCTGACCGGAAAGGCTGGAAACATGATTAGTATATCTTGCGCAGGGCGTTGATAGAGAGATGCGGCGGCACGAGACATACCTGAAATCCAGTGACGAGCACTGTCAGCTCTTCTTGGACCTGAGACCCCATGGAGAAAAAGAAATTGTATCCAAAATTGTATACTCTGTTTACGAGATGATGTAGAGATTGGCAGTGTAAGAAGAGCTCTGGTGCCCAAGCTCTGTGTAGATCAGGCAATGGTCGAGGTAAGCAGGTGAGAGATGTCACTCTGGAGGGTGTACTTGCACATACCTGGATATAACCTGATCGTTAGCAGACAAGCCACGAACGCCAGCACTAAGAGGCGCCCCGAGGTAACTTTATACCCGATCTCGAGGTACACAAAATGTTCCGTGCCCAGCAGCGGCTACCAATCCGGGCACTTTAAGACAAACAAACGGACAATGTCACGCATCATTTCTTGTCATGCCGCTGCTAACGCGGGACGATTGGTGGATAGCCAGCAGCAAACAAAAAGTAGCCGTTTCCGTTGTAATACCTTGTTAAGCCGAAATCCTTCCAGTGGTGCGGGGGAATTTGGGACGTGGATTCAGCTTCTCCATGGGACCAGAGCTATAGCCCAGTTGGAGCTAGCAGGACCAATTGAGCAACCATGGGGTCTCGTGCATTGACATTTTACTGTATTTGTGTTTGTAAGGTTCTTTAGTAGGTTCTTTAGCACGCCCAATGCAATTCAATTCTCTTGATCAATTGGCACCTGGGAATGGCCGTGCACTCAAGGAGCTGTGATCCGTGTATTAGTAGTACCTGTTGAATATTACTCAGGTGCCCAGTAATACCAAGGGAGGTACCCAAGCTTCAATATTTGGTACATGTAGGTATTTTCCATGTACTTTGATAGACAGCAGCGGGGTTCGCGGGGTAACATCCGCATTCAGATCAATCTCTTCTGGCAATGGATGCGCAGTACTTGTTCTGCCACGTTGACAGGCTGAGGCTCCATGTACATGTCAAGTACTCGCAAAACACGCAAGTCGTGTGTTTGTCACGTTGATGACGTGTGATTCTTGCCATAAGCATGAGGTCGGTAAGCTCTCGGAAGGTGCATTCTCGCAAGGTGATTGCCAACCGGATTGATGCGCATGTCCTGGCCTCACGTGAGCGAGACAACGCCCAATTGATGCTGCCTCGGTTCCTCTCACTCGCATCATTTAATGTTCTTTTCTTATTCCCGTACTGTATATTCGCACTGCCCAATCGTCAAAAGAACCCGGAGCTTACACTACCAGCTACATCGCCAACCAACAAACTAACCCGATAATGGGCTGATCAAAAGGATTGTGCATTCGTTCCCTCGGGCATTCATATTTTACCTCGTCTGTCTTCTGAAAAAGAGAGAGAGAGAGCCGAAAGGGCAAAGCACGCCGAATCTCGGGATGCGATGCCTTGCAGCTCAATGAATGCTTCTCGCATAGCATCTATTTCGAACTCAAGCGACCCTCCACAATCATCATTCTCGCATTAGTGTGTGTGATTAGCTGTGTTTGTTTGTTGGCTACCGCTCTGCTCTACCAAGCTGGCAGGGCGTCCTGCATGTGGTGACGAAAAGAGGCACATCACATCTCCTAATGCAGAGGCGTGTAAGGGAACGTTGATATACCCATCCGCTTCAGTAATCTGACTTACAAAGCTGCCGTCTTTGGATAAACAGACCGTTGAACATGCATGTTATCATTGTGGGAGCTGGCATTGCGGGTCTCTCGCTTGCCATTGCCCTTGGCCAGTCTCGTCACCAAATCACAATTCTCGATGCTGCTCATGAGCTTACCGAGCTGGGTGCGGGCGTTCAGATGACACCGCAAGCAATCAGATATCTTTTCAAGTGGGGTCTCAAAGATGACCTACTCGCCCAGTCGATTATCCCCGAAAACTTGCATGTGTGGGATGGACAAGCCGGCAATCTGCTGGGGAGTGTCCGAATCAAGGAAATGGAGGCTCAATATGGCGCCCCATACATTGTCGTTCATCGGGCCGTTTTGCATGCAATATTACATCGTCACGCTGTCCAAGCTGGGGCACGATTGCTGCTCAGCAGCGATGTTATTGAGTACGATTTTGCCAACGGTGCTGTACAGCTGCGAAATGGCAAAAGACTAACCGCCGATCTGGTTGTCGCTGCTGATGGTGCGTATACACAGAATCTACTTCGAAATACTTTGCGCTGCTATTAACGACTCCATCGTTCCAGGGATCAATTCTCTTGCTCGATCCCAGCTGCTGGGCTCCCGAGATCCTGGAAGCCAGCCGACTGGATGGGCCGCTTTTCGCATGACGGCGGAAGTCTCTAAGCTCAAGGCAGATCCTGTGACTTCGAATCTAATAGATCTTCAATCTCGCAGCTCCAATTGGTGGATTGCTCCACACATATCGTGTATGACATACTTGATAAAAGATGCCACAATGCTCAATATAGTATTAGCACACAGAGACAACATCAACACCAAAGAATTCACCACGGAGGAATACAACAAGACAGTTCGGAGTATATTCAAGGACTTTGAGCCTCGGTGAGTACATATGCTCAGCTTTAACCTAATATAATCCAAATTATTTCTAATGCAATCTATAGTGTTCAGCGCATATTCGACCTTTCTACGTCGAAAATTGTCAACTATCCCGTGTATGCGGTGCCGCCACTGCCCTCCTGGAGTCACGAATCTGGTCGCTTCATTCTCATAGGCGACGCTGCCCATGCAATGGCCTTTTACATGTCCATGGGCGTGAGTATAGCTGTCGAAGACGCTGCTGCACTTGCAACGGTGCTAGATTTAGCTTGTCCTTCTGATACTAGCTCAAATATCTCCGACAAACCAAGCATGGTGGTTGACTCAAAATTAAAGCATGCACTGGATGTATATGAAATCGTGCGCAAGCCAAGAGCTGAAGCTGTGCAAGAAGCCAGCCTACAAGGGGGTGATTCGTCACATACCTCGCATGAAGCAGAGCGCAGTGTTCTCTACGAAGCCCTTGCTCATTCTCATGAGGAGATAATCTGGCCGTTGGAAAGCGATGCCGTTAGAGGCGAATATGTTCGGAAATGTAGACGAACGGGCCAAAGGCTTGGACCGGGTGGCATCACTGATAAGGGAACAAGAGATTGGTGCTATGACTATGATGCCATCGGGGCTATCGAGGAGTATTACAAGTCCTCAATCGCAGAGCACATGTTCGAGGCAACAAACCATATTGACGCCATTCGCGAGTGAGTCGGCTGCGTGTCTGGAGATGGAGTTGAAACTCTCCCTGATATATTATAATTTCACTGCGCCCGATACTTCAAGCCGCAGAAGGCAACTCCGACGAGCTCACGATTACGATCGAGTCTTTTGAAACTATCAGAAGAAACCGTCCGCCACAGCCTCATGAAATAAACTCGCTGCGGACATTATTTGGCGATGGATCTAACCGGCTGAGGAAGCCCCGCAAGTGCGGAATTGCCACGTGGGGGTTTTAATCTTGGATCTAACTTCAACCTTGGAAGATCCCGCTTTTGCAAACGATATATATATAAGAACTCATCATCAGCGTTCAGAGTTGATCAAAACCGCATCGCCTATCGACGCTTCATCATTTCGACTTACGAGTCTCCTGTGCAAGGTCATTCTCTTCTTCAATCACTCGATACTAGTATCTCCGAGAATAGCGGCAGGATGGGTTCTCAGCCAGATTACAGCCTCCCCACGCAGGAGATCTCATTTTCCGGATTCCTGTTTGACATGGATGGAACCATTATCGACTCTACCCCGGCTGTTGTCAAGCACTGGCATAAGTAACGATCCCCTTCCATGTTCTCTAGCAAGCCATCCTGCGCAGAAGATAGACTTTTGCTAACAAAGGGGGAAAAGTGTCGGTGAAGAAATCGGCGTTGCTCCTGAGGTCATCTTGGAGACGTCCCATGGCCGCCGCAGTATAGATATCCTAAAGATCCTTGCCCCTGAGAAGGCCAACTGGGAATGTAAGTTGCATTTGTTTGGCTTGTCCGGTTATCTGGTTGCATCTTCTCCCCCCTCGATATTACCGCAGATGGCGCAACGTGGCGTAGTTTCCCCGTTCTGTGTCGACGTCTCCAATCCCTGCGAACAGGACTCGTCCTGAGGCTGAGACTTGGCTCACAAAGAGTTTTTTTGTATTCACTTGAATGGGTGTCACAATCAAGTAGCACAGAACTAATGTGTGTGCTTATAGATGTGACAAAGATGGAAGGCGAGCTGCCCAAGCTGTACGCCGATGACGTCGTGGAGATCCCCGGCGCCCGCCCTCTGCTCGATTCCATCATTTCTTATTCCTTCCCCTGGGCCATCGTGACGTCCGGTACCCAGCCCCTAGTCAGAGGCTGGCTCAAGCGACTGTCCCTCGGCACACCTGAGCATCTCGTCTCCGCCGAGTCCGTCGAGAACGGCAAACCCGACCCGACATGCTATCTCATCGGCCTCGAGAAGCTCGGGCTGCAAGATAAGGCCGGGGAAGTCCTTGTCCTCGAAGACAGCCCGGCAGGCATCAAGGCCGGCAAGGCGGCGGGGTGCAAAGTCCTTGGGCTGGTGACGAGCCACACTGTGGAACAGGTTGTGGCGGCCGAGCCCGACTGGGTGGTGAAGGATCTCGACAGCGTGAGGGTGGTGAGACAGGAGGACGGCAAGATGACGCTTGAGTTCTCCAACGCGCTGCGCTTTTGATTAGAACTTGGGGCAATAGAATCACATACTTTGGGGCTTGAAAAAAGGAAGATATTCTAGAGGGCAACTTCAAGTCAGATATTCCATAGATTTTAATTAATATTATAGACACTCTAGCATTCCGGGGAAACAAAAGCCCTTTGTGAGGGAAAAAGAAAAAAGGAATGGATCTCGGGGGAACACGTTGCGCGTGTTCAGATCAGCCCTTTTGGCAGCTGAAGAATTGAACGAAGTCGATCCCACGGGCGTGGAGATGAACAGGTCTCACATCCTGTGCCTGGCCAGGCTTTGCTTCTCCCTAACCCTCCAGGTTCCACAATTCGATCGGCAATGTCTTACCTTTGCATCCCTCTTCTTTTTCAGTTTCCCTCCTTCTCGGGTTCACTGCTTTCTACATTGTCGAAAACCCTCAGCGGGTTGTCAAGTAGCGCAAGTGCTCCCGTAACGTGAGACAACCCATGGAGTTAGGAGGAAGAAGGGGGGGGGTTTTGTCTCTCACAGGATTCCTTTTAAACATGAGCCCTTATTTCTCCTTTTAACCAAGGAGCCTGGTGCCTGTATAAGGCGCACGCGGTGCTACTACTGTACTCTAACTTGTGATCCTTCTCAACACGCTGCGTAACGGACACGATGAGCTCGTACAGTACGACCGCGCCCGTGTTCGCCTCCCCGCGATTCAGTGAAACAGAGTGGAAGTGATTTACCTTTTGGTGTACGCGCTTGGGGTATGATAAAAGTCCAGGCAGAAAGAGAGAGAGGGTGTATACACTTGGCCAATCGAAGCGGGAGATTGCGAGTTGAGGGACAAGCAGGATAAGCCGGCAAATTCACAAGTCTCCATCCATAGGATAGGAAAGAGTCTGCGCAACTCGAGGCGATAGAGTTAGACGCCCGCAGCATGTGTTCGTACATACGAGTAGTACCCCGGGGAACTCTTCAGACGGGTCTCGGGCGCCCGGTTTGTCATGCATGTCATGTCATGCGTGCCCCTCTTTTCACGTAGGTATATCTCAGGAGTCACCTTTCTCTTGCGTCTTTTCGGGTATGGGAATCCTCTGCTGAAGATCCCCCCGGCTCGGCATGATCTCGCATGCTTTTTTCTTTCGACAGAAGATACAGGGTAATACAATTGGCAGTCCTGGGATAAATGCAGAAATCGTGGCAATATTGGAGGAGCCCTCCCCCACCAACCCCCTTGTATGCTCTTTTTCTTGCGGACCGATCATTCTGTGGACCACGAGTAGCCACGATGGCGTGAGAAAGGGGGAACTACCACACAGCACGACTTTTGGATGCAAAGCTGACTGCACAAGTGTGACGGGGCATACCAGGCTCAAGGCTCGAATGTAAGGCGAGGCTGGTTTGTGCTACCACTCGTATTACAGCACTGCTGTACAAGTGATTGTGAGGGTGCGGGTTTTCGATAATTGGCGATTGGACGGGTTAGTATATTCACCATGTTGTTGCGAGCAAAAGCCCCCATTGTTCGGGAGGGGAGGACAGCCAAACAAGTGCAACCACTGATCCCGTAAGACTCGCCGATCTACAGTGATACGTATGCAGATCTTGATTTCTGCTCTGTGTGACGTACTCGTACGGAGCATCTGGGAATGTCTTGATATTCCATGCAAGGTCCCGTGCGAGGCGAGACGAACGCAGGTTCTCGTATCATGCCATCACCTACCCTGCACTTTCGGAAGAGAACTTAGTCCTCGGATATTCTGAAAAACAAGTTGTGCCGAAAATGCCGTGCTTGACGCACTTCACTTGATATCCCACATGGGCGCAGTAGGTTGCGGCAACTCACCCTCGCTTCTGGGTCACGTCTCATTCACAGGCTTACGCTCAAGGTTCATGCAGTTGCCGCCAGTGCGGTGGTTGGCTCTCGTAGCCCGCGCTTGCATCGCAACACTTTTGCCGGAGCCCACTTGTAGACGGCGAAGGGCCACTGTGATATGCTTTTTGACGCCCTCCCCTCCAGCACCGCTACGCATCTGCACGAAGACCTCGAGGCCGAGACGAAGTACTTCTCGTAGCTGAAGTGGGATTCCGAAAGCGTGACACGGTTTGTCCTGGCCGCAGGTGGCCGTCCAACAGGCCTCGGAGGCTTTCCCCCGCCCCTCCCGGGTATAGAAGGGTATCCTGACTTCTTCAGAGAGCTTCGCCTTGGAGTGCCAAAAGCAAGAGAAGGCGCGAAAAGGGGGGGAAGGGGGTCTTGTCGTGAGGCTGGATATCTATCCTATCGTATAAATGCACGCCCTTGCTTGTTGAGGAGAAGACTGCTCCGGTAGGACGATCAATCGGTCAATTCGTGTGTACCCGGCGTCCAACTAGAGTCGCCGAGTCAAACTGGCTCTGGTGCCACTGTACTCGTACGTGGTTATATCCCCACACTCAGGAGATCCCGGGCCTACTTTGGCGGGCAAGGGGGCTTGCTGGTGCTTGTCCAGTGCTGTAGTATCGGGGAACCAACCAAGCCAGAAGAGGCTCAGGGCAATATAAAGTACACGTGGGATGTGCGCTCTTAGGCGTGAACCAATGGAACCGTGCGTCGACCCCAAGCTAAAGCGGTTGGGCGGGCACAGCCGCTTCAGCGTATTTCGCCAAACTCGCAGACTTTTGCTCCCCCCTATACGAAATAAGTGCCGTTTGATTGCCATTATGCGCAACCCAATGCCATTGCCGCCAGCGGGGAGCATGTAAGAACCCAGCCAAATGCCCAAATAGAGCGCGTCCATGCCCGCTGCAGCGGCGGGTGCAATTTCGAGCTCCCTAAAAGAGACGCAGCTGAGATCGAAACAAGACATGGCTCCGAGATTCGGCGTGGGCTAGAACGACAGTATGCAGAGCATTTCTCGTCTCCTTGCGCCATCAATCGCGCTATGGTCTCTTGCCATGTGGGAGCCTAAAAAAATTCTCGGGAAGCGATCTGACTGGCCAAGATGCGAGACTGTAGCTCCTCGGCTAGCCGATTCTGAGGGCGTCCCCCATGCTCCTTGCTTGGAGAGATGTATCGTTGTCCAGAAACATACATATTTTGAAAGTTTTCGAGTAAGAGGCTTGAAGTAAAGCGACCGAAATGTTTGCGCCACCGCCCACTTGAGAGTTGAACCCCTGAGCGGCCTGGGAGGAGCTAAGCAATTGCAGCATATTATTGGTGTCTGCGCAGGCGTAAATCTCCGGGAGGCTTGCAAAGTCGCAGCTGAGGGCAGATTCGAGAACCAAGATGCAGATACGCTGTACGGCATGCATTCCTGTTGCGGTCATGGTGATGGTGATGATTTCGCTTTTGATTCTGATAGTAAAATTTTCTTTTGAGACGGTAGTCTGTACTAGGGAGAATAGCTGTGCGGCGTACTCCGTAAGACTCACGCAATGTGCAGTGCTAATGCGTTATCCGCTACCCATGAACGCTTGTCATCTCCGAGCGGCATTCGTCGGAACACCGCGCATACTGTAGGTGAGCAAGCACGGGATTTGTTGCTTTGCTTGGCCTCCAAGGCTAGAGAGAGAAAGACAAAAACGAATAAGCACGAGGGTCATGCCGCCGCGAGGCTTGTCAATCCGGACGACGCTGGCTCCTAGTGCTCCAGCTCCAGCTATGTGGTTGAAAGTGGCAGCGTCTGCTACACTGTGGTCGCTCAACAGGGCAATGAGCGACGCTCGCAAGTCTCGATCGAGTCCTCAGCAGACAGGGATCGCGGTTCCATCGCACGTGGCCGCCCGGACCACCAAGGCTACACTAATCTCCCCGTCCCTGGCCGCGGGGACTTGAGTTGGCTTTTGTCTGTTCACGCCCTTTGGAGAATCCAAACGACACGCCCCCTTGCCTTTGGCTCCCCGCCCGTTTGCTGTGCTCTAGAACCTGCCTGAGCTGCCTCCGCACGGCTCCATCCTCGTAGTCGTAGATGTGAAAAAAATCAGATACGATAACCTAGCGACAAGCGTAGCCTTTGCTACCCTTTAGCAAAGGCTAGAACCTGCATTTTGCATTTTGCTGAGTTGGCAGCGGGGAGAAAACCCAAGTAACCTGCATGGCATTCGTGTCAGATTTGGCCAAAGCAAGGACGCAATGCGCAAAGTACGAGTACCTGTGCAACTTCTCCTTATGGCCCTGCCGCTTTGATGCCCCGCATCGCCCTCCCACTTACGCGCCGTGAGAGTGGGCGAGTGCGTGCCGAGATGCTTCGTTTGCGGTATCTTGGTGATATGATGTGCAATTACTTGGCAGCGCTTCGTGCTATGTGATGTGAACTGCAAAAGAGCGCCGTGGTATTTGCGCGAGGTTGGATTGCGTCGTCCCTTTCGGGCCATCTGCGTCCTCACGCCACTTAGGCTGGCGGCGGGGATGCTACTTGCACGGCTGTTCATCACCCTCCCCGCCCATCTTCACCATAAGAGCCCAGCCCTTTCTGCGGTTGCACTTACTCGTACGCTGCCCCATTCCATCTAGATGTGTCTAGTTCCTCCGAGAGCATCATGCAGATGGTGGAACGGAGACGAGCACATGTGAGCACCGTGATCAACTCGCAGCTCTACACCTGCTCACATGACAACATCGACTCACCAAATCGAATGGCGTCTCAATACCCCTGCTTGCTTTGATCTTGCTGCGAGGGGTAGACGTCGCCTCTCTCCGGCTTGCTTCCTTTTTTTGCTGTGAGTCAACAGATCCGTGCGATGAGAAGCTCAGCCGCTTTTCGGCTTCTATTTCAAGCCATCTCGCCACCCAGCGGAAATCTAGATAGCTAGGCAAGCCTCCCGTGAGCAGCGACCACGTCAGATCCACATTGCTGGTAGGAGAGCTCTTCTCGAAAGCTTTAGCTACATCCTCTCAAACACGCCGTTGTCTCGCGTTGGGGACAATTCTTGTTCGCTTTTCTCCTCTCCTTGCTTTCTTGTGACTAAAATTTTGTTTTCTCTATTGGTATACCCAATCGGTCGAGTCATTGATAACCTGAGAAAAGAAATTTAGCAAAAATACTATCCTCTGTAAAAGGAGGTGGCCGTGTAAGACGGCCATGGCTAGATATCAGGCCAGCATCAATCTGTCACCATAAATCCGAAGAGAGAGAGAGAGAAAAAAAAGGGTCTCCCTCATTTGTACTACCAGCAATCCAGATCTTTGCGGCAGGGGATGGACCAGGCCGTAGAGACTAGGATGTTCAGCTCGAGAAGTGCTAGTTTTTAAGCCTAGCGAGCAGATCTGTGAAGCTTGTTTCCCCCCTCTCCAATATTCTGTCAGTCCTGTTATTCCTACCGAAGGCCAGTGATCGAGACCGATAAATGTCTGCGGGGCTGAGCTTCCGAACCCTTGGATAAGACCCGAGCGGCCTACAGTAGCATCATGCGCCGGCCAGGCCCCGCGGATTTTGGCTTCGCTCTTCCTTGCAATGAATCTCTTCCCCGTACAGCTGTCCAATGGATCGACGCCCGGTAGTCGGATTGGCTGAGCGTGCATGTGGCTTTTGCTCTGGGAAATTCGACAGCATTTTAGGCACTAGAGGGGCTTCGGGGTGTGTGCCGCGTCACACACAGCAACGCAAAAAGACACCATTTCAGGCTTGGCGAGCTTTTCTTCCCTCCCACATCCAAGACCTCAGGCGCCGCCAGTGGGATGGATGCACACCATCTGGGCAAAGCAGAAAAGGAACAACCCATCAGCGGGCCTTCTTTCAAATCAATCTTGGCATGCTCGATCTGATAGCAAGACGGGAAGTGACTGTGATCTACATCCAATTGGACGTTGGCTAAGTTTTGTGCCAGGACAAATAAAGTAAACGTGTGCTTCGCTAGAACATGTTGACCATGGAGTTTTCACATCGTTCTCATCTCACCTGTATTTTCCTCTCTCCTTCTTTCCTCTCTCTTCTTTCCTCTCCTTTCTTTTTTTCTTTTTTCTTCTCTTTTTCTTCTTCTTTTTTTTTTTTCAATGAACACAAGTACTCTGCAAGGGGGTGTTAAAAAAAAAAAGCCCTTAGCACGGAGATCTCCGGTGCTCTGTAGCCGCGCGGGCGTACAAACAACCACGGTCGAGGCCTGTCTCCGAACTTAGCATGCCAGGTACCAAGCACTTAGCTTGTACCACTCCATGCTTGTACATAGACATATTGAAAATGCAGCTAGCTTCTGAGATAGGCCAGCGTTCCAGAGCGCTGGGCCTGGCCTCACCAAAAGCAACGAGTTGGAAGGCGAAATGGGGCACAATTGTAGCTAAGAGTTAGGCTGCGACACAGGAACATGCCCTGCCTCAGTTGCTGTCAGTTGTGAGTTTTTTTCTGATGGGACGAGGCGCCCCGACAACCCGAGCTCCTCAGAACGACTCCCCCACATTCCGACTAAGAGTCGACAGCTTAGTTCTTCCTCAACACAATTATTTTGTGACCGTAGCGTTTTGTCAATGAGATGAATGAAACTCGTACTCGACGGTCATCTAATACCAGCTAGCTCCCCGTTCGCATTTCCTTTGGTGCCCATAATGTCGATAATTGTACGAGTAGATATCTCGTCTGTCTTTCTCCTGGGGTGCCATTAGACGCCAACCCTCACCGGAGGCCCGCCACTATGAACTCGGGCTGCTGTCTAAGGCGGCGGCTGAAATTGGTGGCCTGATCTTTTGCGGTAGACACTAATAGCACACGCAGTGCTGTGCTGCTTCGGCATCCTTTGCGCAGACTGCAGCCGCTGCAGCAAATTAGCCGTACGAAAAAAGACGAACGAGGCGACCTGAAAAAAAAGGGACAGTCTTCTGGCAGGATGTCTCATTCAACACACTGACTGTTGCCGCAACCTAGGGGAGTGTAGATAGAGATGTTCGGCTGCCAACTGCATCGTCCAGCCTTGGCTGATCGGCACTCCAGTTACCCTTCTTGACCAGAGCAAAGAACACATCCAGATCTCTGGGTCGAGACCGCTCTGTTCGGCACCGCCGCCGCTGCCGCGCCATATTTTCTTTTTTAAGCCCTTTCTCCCTGCCTATGTTCGGCTCTCAGTGTAACAGCGGCTGGGGAGACGCAGCGATTAGCGCCCCATCACTTCCAAGCACTCGGGACCAGTGAGCTTGTAAGGCTGATGGCTCTCATTCTGTCTCACTCTGATGATGGACCACACTTGGGACCAAGAATATTTTCTTCCATTTTTGACCAGACAAGTACTCGTATAGTAATAACACTTTGTCTAAAAGGAAGTCGTTTGGAGGCCGCTTGGAGGGAGCACCCCCGACCAAATTAGTCTGCTCTGCCGATCCAGAGTAACCTGCGAACTTGGCAGTGTTGGAGAGCTTGTAAGATAAGGAGCAGGAAATAGAGCAACCGCGTGCTGCACGTTCATTCAGCGGGTCCACATTTGTGAGATCGTGCATGGCCCTGCCGTCTACTGAACAGAAAACAGAGACATGCATATGATGTCGGGATGCACTTCGTCCAAAAGATTTGGAGGTGGACCCGGATGTAAGCCAGCGCCGAAACAAAACCCGGAAAGGATTACACGTGAGTGAGACACGTCGTCCGGAGCTCTGCTCCGTGGAACTCTTTCGTACCGGGACACGGATGCTAGAGATCCAGAGCTGAATTGGGGTGGTAGGGGTTGCAGGACCAGACTCTTCTTGCACCTGGTCTGAGCGCCGCGTCACGTTGTGCAAGCGATTTGATGCGCATCATCTAAGCTCTAATGGAGCCTGGGCGTACCGAGAGTAAAACCACAGTCGGCCACTAGATTGGATATAGTTAGAGGTGGCGCTTCATCGTAGGTGACGGGCTGTTTTTCCTCAGCTGAAAACGCCAAAGTTGAGAGAAACGAAAAAGGAGCTTACTATTCTGAGTTAGCTGATTTTGGTGTTGGACACACCGCCAATGAGGATGCCGTAGGACAATGCGGAGAATTAGTGTGGTACAAGCCGCCTGTTACTCGTCCAGCAATTTGTCAATGGTAGATGACGGTGAAGTTATCGCTTAACCATATCCCGTGAGATCGTTCTGCTTTGTCACAATCCTTGCCAATGTCTGCATGGACAATTGAGCGAAGCGATGTTTGCCAAAGAGATACCTAGACTTGAAGATGTCCCATAAGGGAGACAATGCCACAGCAATGAGCCGAATTCGCCAGCCGAGACATTAATTGAATTAGGTACCAGAGCTTTCAACTATCCGTGACTGGTTCTCTGGTGAGATTTGACACCGACGGGACCGAAATGGAAATTTGGAATGCCGCGGCGCTAGGCTTGGTGGCGTCTTCCATCTTCTGGCGGTTTCCCGTGCTTGTATATATGATGGGTAGTTGAGGCCAAGTTGACAGCTAAAAGGGAACCATCTCATCTCTGGTGAGATGAAAAAAAAAAAAATGATGGAGCTAAGCGCTTTGCCAAAGATGCTGCTTACCTGTACTCGTACTTCGCTGTTCTGAGACAAATGTGGTTGTGAAGCTGGACCAGACAACGAAGCAACATGGCAAATCAACGCGCCGAAATAAGCGAAATGGGTTGATGAAAGCCACAGCGCCCAGCCTGGGTTTAGGCTGGCTCGCCTGAGTCTGCGACTGGGGTAGACCTGCAAGGATGGAGGACTGACAGGCTGCTGCTGAGGTGTGTGATGGTCCTGAAACAGGCAAAGCTCCGCGACGGACGGAGGCTCGGAACGGTGGGGTTGGTGGCTCCGAGAGCCCGATCCAACCTCTTTGGGGAAGGGTAATGGCTGCCAGAGAGGAGTGGTGGGTGGCCGAGATAGGGAGCGTGGATGTGCCACGAGGTGAAAATTCCGCATCATGGTGTGTGTCCACTCTAATCGCGAGAGCTCCTAGCCATGAATGTACTCGGACATGGGAGGCGAGGCTGATTTTTGTGCAACTGTAGGAACATCAAATGTCGTCACCTAGCCTGAAAATCTCATTAGCAGGGGAAAGGCGGCTCGATGGTTGAACACGATAGTTCAGCTCGGGATGGTTGGGGCGATTTGATACCTACGAGTACTCCAGCCGCTCCTTGGCCTCTTCTCTTCTGTATCCCGAAGCATCAGAGCACTGGCTGTGTTTGCAGCCGCCATCCCAGCTCCTTTAGGCTCTGCATCTTGGTGGCTAAAGTCAAAGTGGCAGGGGGTGTAGCGCTGTCGTAGTAGCAAAGTCCAGTCACCGGCGCTTCTCTGGCGCGTGGCAAGCTTGGCTCGGGAGAGGTATGTCCAGGACACTTGACAGTACTGTCTCGTTTTGCCGAGCTTCGAAAGAACACACAACCTAGGGAGGGGAGTGGCCAAAAATCGTGGGCAAAATAGCGGGCAAAAAGGGAAGATGAGGATAAGGACATAGAGGTAGTCCGGATGGGCCAACCGGGTGCATCCGGGTGCCACGGGCCAAAACCAGCCGGTCTCTTGGTGGGCAAAATTAGCTTGAAATGATCAACGCAAATTCACGGCGAGCTGTTGTGTGAGGTGAACGGGATCAACACGAGGATGAACATGGAAGATGATGTTAGGATCAAAACGCAGATACTGCAAGCGACTGATGGCCGGATAATGATATACCGAAGAGAGATTTATTCTTCGTTCATAGTACCTTCCGTATCTTAGGGACTGGGTAAGGTAGTTGCCCTCATGGCAGATCAAGTTATGTTGGAAAGAACCAGGGTAGGCAGGAGCTGCACCAGGAAGGAGCAGAGTACCGAGCCTGTATACCGGCTGCTGTGACAAGACTTCATCTTCATCTTTGCACCAGAAACACAAATCAAATTCTCGCAACAGCACCAGCAGCACAGGATTCGTACCAGTTGCAACGCCATCTCCAGCCTAGTTGGCCGACCTGATGGATGGTTCATCCCATCCGTCCTGTCTCTTTACGTCTTAGGGGCAGACGCTGGGCAGCCAGCCGCCTGCGGTGTCCAATTACAGCGAGCGATGCCCTGGAACCTACCGACAGCCAGGATGGACAAGGACATGGCATGCTGCACCACAGCACGCGAGCTGCTGTGCTTGGGAGCCTTTAAGGGGATGTGGTGGGAAACTGGCTGTGCTGGGTGGATCTGACACCAGTTTGGCACCAGAGTTTGGACTTGAAAGGCCCAGAATCTCAGTGTGGGCACACCGTCGCATGTTCCAATTGGCAAAACCTACGCACCTCCGCCCGTCCGCTGTGAGATGCTTGATGGGGAAGTTTCCGCTGGAGCTTTCATGATGGCGGCATGTTGTACATGCGTTGGATATTTGGTACCTGAACGGACCTGCAAAGAACAGACACAGGCCAAGTACTGTTTGCACACGCGGCTCAAAGACGTATTTCCGTCCCTGTATGAGTACCAGTAATTGCTTACACATTCCAGCGACAGCATTAAGGTGATTCCCTGTGGCATCTCCTATCTCCAAGTACGAGTGCTAACTAACTAGGTAATTAGAGGCCCGTTTTGTCGTCCTCCCTAGCCTCGAAGGGTTTTGCACCGGTGAGATTATCATGTCATCACGGACCGCGTTCGCACCCTCGTCGTCTTCCTTGGCTACCGCGAAAGGCACGCGGCATCCCGCCGCGATCCCACCAGACCAGAACTCGTTATGCAAGCGCACGTCCGCTTTGCTTGAACTCGAGCTCAAGTTCATCAAATCTCATGGCCAGATGCTCGCGCACGCCCCTCGGAGCCCTGCCAGTACTGTACCTCCGTCGGTTTCTTCCCCAGTCCCACCGCACAGACCGAGAGCGACTCGCAGACTTGCATCGGACACGACGACACACGTTGGCGTGGTGGCGGCTGCGAGCCTTTGCATCCACGGGCAACTTGTGCAGCCATTTTGGCGGTCGTCGGAACGTACAGCGACACCCTACGCTAGCCATGCCCAGCTGGGCTCTGTCCTGGGTTCTGGACCCGGACCTCTGGATGGCTCTGGGCTGTGGCTCTAGCCTCGAAGCCTCTAGCCTTGGAGGCTGCGAGCGCTCTGGGCGCCAAAGTCTGCACAGCGCGAGTCCCGGCCCACCCAACGCGCAGCTGATGCTCTGATGCACCCCCCGTCGCTGCTTGCTGCTGCCCTGGAGTGGCAGGGCTCAGTGCCAGGGGTATCGGTGCTGTGCCCTGATCCTTGCCCCCTGGTCTCTGACCGGGGTGATGCCCTCACTCGCAGTACAGTACCGTACCGAGTACGGAGCAGCCCATGGAGACACCAAAATCCGCCACAGATGCGCGGGCGGGTCGACAACACCACTACCGAGTTTAGAGATGCGTATCAAGGGCCTCTGCCTCTAGCGAGTACTTGTATCTACCTCCGCCCCTCCGAATCTGTTCCCGGATCTTGTCCCTCAATGTTTCTGCCCGCTTGCTCCAACGACGACAAATCCCCTTAACAAGGCCGAACAGAGTAACCTGGAAACAAAGTTCAGGAAAAGCCCTTGTCTCAATAACCCCTTCTCCTTCTTCCTCTTAATTTTTCTCTTCGTCGTCATCATCGCAATTGATACCATTTCACTCCCGAGGATCGTCCTCATCTACCCCTCGCCGCCGGCAGCATTCATATTTATATAAACCAAACGACCATTGCTTGCCATTCCTCGATTCCAATCTGAGTCTACACCTCGGCGTCCTGCCACATTTACAGCGCATAACCGACTTCGGCGTTTACTAGATTACGCAAGTCTCAAGCTGGGGCATAACCGTCATCAAACTTACCACGCCTCGTGTGGCCCCTCAACAGAAACCATGGTTCACCATTCTCAATCGGAGTGGCCGGCTTGGACCTATTCCGTCGCTGCCGCTGACGACTATACACAATATGCTCAGATCCCAGAGTACCCATTTCTGGCGGAGTCTATGAAAGCCTACCAGGCACAGCATAACCATCTTGTTCACCACCAGCAAATGTCGCGAACAACGGAATCAAAGCCGCGACTTTCAAAGGAAGAGGTGGAAGTTCTTGAGGCCGAGTTCCAAAAAAACCACAAGCCCAACAGCAGCACAAAGAAGGCCTTGGCCGAGAGTATGAGGGTTGACCATGCACGAATCAATGTAATTGAACCCGCTCCCCATTGACAATTATATGATCATGAATATGTATACATATATATCTACAATGCAGTTTGCTAACGATTAGCTAGAACTGGTTTCAAAACAGGAGGGCACGAGAAAAGAAGGAGAACAACATTCGAGAGTACGAGGCTAGACAACGAGCCGAAAAAGAAAGGACAGGTGGAGAGATGGGCCTGCAGGGCTCTGATCGCAAGCGTGACCTAGTTGCTTCTTCTGCCCCCTTCCCCGAGCCGCGACAGGCCTCGCAAGCCAAGGAGCAGTCCCCAGATGCCCCTTCTCAGCTCTCGACAGCATCTGAGAGCTCCACCGATGCTTATGGGACAACACCTCCTGTTACCCCCCACCTCGGCTCTGCGTCTTCTCTCGTCTTCCACCGTGCGGACACCGAAGATGATGCTGTCAAGGTAGAGCCTCCCTCTCCCGCAACCGACATGTCTTTCGCCAATGTGTCCGCCTTGGACACGATGCTCTCTATCGAAAACACTTCCGACGAGTATGCCAACGAATACCAGGAGATGGATCTTGAGCGGATAACAGCCTTCTTGGATCAGACTGGCATCCCGAGCAGCCCCAGCCGGCAGCTCAAATCCCCTTGCCCTGCAGACATTGCCTCTCGCCGTAACCGTCAAACTCCCCAGCTATTGTTCAACGGCCCTCGAAGCTTTTCGGGCGGCCCCAGAACTGGTATTGATACCAGACGCTCTGAGCAGGTTGCTTCCATGCGTCGAGTTGTTTCTACAGGAGCAGGACGAGTTCGCAAGTCGTCTGCCTCTGCTGCCACACCACGCAGCCCCTTTTTCCAGAGAAATCGCTCACCAATGGCCCCTGGCTCAGCGGCGCCGCCCACGCCAAACACCCCCGTCGTCACAGAGGCACAAAACGCCAACGGAGGCCTGTTCCCCCTGACTACCAAATACTCGTCGTCGGCTCTGATTCAAGATCCTACATTGCGCACGCCGCCGACCACACCCGCCTTTTTGGAGAACTTTGTGTTCAATAACAATGGTGCCTCCTACGCCATGGGCAACTTTGGCGCAAGATCCTTTTCCGACGATCTTGATGGATCAATTCACGGAACGGCAGCGGACTACGATGCTAGTATCAAGGCCTGCTCTAGCCAGCCCACAACCCCCATGTTTCCTTACCAAATGGGTGCTGGTTACTTCTCCGGCTATGCAGACAACTCAGACTATAACTGGTCCTTTTCACCACACAGTGGCGAGTCGGCACCAGAGTTTGCCATTCCCTATACCTCATCTATGAACATGCTTTGATTTTGGATAAGCAAGCAAAACGTTACACACAGCTGGATGCGCAAAGTTCGTCTCAGTTTCTTCTACATCTGGCTACACACTCATATTGCATGCTCTCATTTGAAAATTGTGCTTGCAATTCTGTATACTATAAACAGCAGTGGCTGTTATTTTCCTTTGTTTACTCTTTCCTTTGTAAAGCTTGGTCTAGCGGTTTGCATATACATTAGCATTGGACTGTACTGTATGGGGAGCGGCATTTTGGATTCTAAATTTGAATTATGGAAGCAGTTTTATGGTGGGAGACTTGTATTTTCCTTTGTTATGACTCCGGTACTACTGGATCCTGAATGATTGGTGCCTCTATTGGGGACATCGCTGTCCGTTTTTGGCGCTCTGGCGTGGGATTGGGACTGAAATACCCCAGGGTTAGAAGTGATTAGGAGCAGGACGAGATAACTACGCATACTACGTGGCCTTTTTGCAGTTGAATAATGGCAAAATACCTATGATATCTATACCAAGTGCAGTATAAGCTTCCTCTTCTGTGCGTATGTGGTATCATATCCGACTTCGGTGCTTACTGACCAGCGTAAACTCGGCGTTATAACATGGAACAGGCAGGTACTAAAAGGCCTACTACTTGTAGATGTATTCGCCAGTTACGCTCAAGATGTCTTATATCCCCTAAACTGCATGACTAGATACATTAGTAGGTAAAGTAGGTGACATTACTCGACCTTGGGGAATAGGTCGGCTGATACCGCAGTCTCAAAGTCAATCGAAAAAAAAACAGCCAATCAATGGCTTCCCAGTTGATAGCCACCACGAGCTGAGTCTGGTTCAACGGTTTGTCAAAAGGTTTGCGCCACTAGGAACGGCTGAACAACCTCATCAAATCAAGTTTTTAAACTACTACTAAACGGAATTGGTATGCATCCAACTTTGCACATGAGAAAAATGCGAGTGAAAAAACAACGAAGGTCGGGTGTGAATCTACATGTACGAGTACAGCTTCCAGGGTCAGGGTTACAGGTTACATGGGTGCAGAAAACAGATGAAGAAAAAAGGAATCTCAGGGAACGACGTCACAGCCTTAATCCTTGGCCTCTGTTTAGCGAAGAGCACGTAACGCGCTTTGCAGCAGCCCCACCTCTTCTTAATGAAGAAAGGGCAGAACAACATCCCTTCGATAAGGCGTCTAAGAAAGCGATCGAGGCTCCCTTTTTGCGTGTTTCTGGCGGCATCTTTATTGCATTTCTTTTCTCTGCTCCCTTATAAGCTTGCTTCCTCCTTCGATAATGCCAGGTCGTGAATGATTGCCAGCTCTCCATGTCCTCGTCCGCGTTCCTCGACGCCTTTGAAGACGCGTCGCGTGCGCGGTCCGGCATCTTGACGCCCGCTTCCGAAGGCAGCTTGAATCGCCAAGATGAAGCTTCTTCGCCGCGCCGCGATGCGAGGAAGTCGGGAGTGGCCGTCACCATGGAGCAGCTGCTCAAGCCATCAATTGCTGTAAAGGTGAATCAAGTCCCTCCGAATCTCGTATCACTGCGTTTGCTCACTGCTCACTGCTCTTGACTTTCTATATAGCCACATCCACCTAATTTGCATATCCCGCCCCGCGTCCTGCACCCATTGATGCTTCTGCCTCGCGAACACCTGCCGCTGGCGTATATAGACTTTGCAGCTTCCAACGGCGATTTCCCCCAGTCTCGGTTTTACGAATCTTATATCCATATTCTCGATCTCGAAAGTCGGCTGGGCCCCGCGCCCATTGTGCTCATCGCGCGCAATGAATTGAGGGGTACCACATACGCCCTGGAGCGACAGTCCAATGGGCTGTATGTGCTTTGCAAGCTGGGGCCATGGGCGGACTTGGAAAGCCTGGCGCAAAATGCAACGGCCGTCAGATATGAGCGCCTTTCTCCCGTGAAGACGGAGCGAGTCGAGCGCCCTGATATCGAAGCACTTACAACCCCTCAGCTGCATGTCGAACAGAAGAAGAAGAGGGCTGCCATCGAAGCCATCCAGTCTCAAATGAGGAAGCGTGTGAGATCCCAGTCTGTTTCGACTGTCGGAATCTTGGCCAAAGAAGAAGAATCGCTGGAACCCGAATCATTGCTGTCACAGCTACCGTCGCCCGACATGAGCTTGGAACAGCTTCCGCTGCCGGGATCTGAGGACCAAGCCAACACTGCTCCCATAGTCCAGGGTGCAGAGGATATTTTTGACAGCATCAGAACTCATTATTTCGATGCGCTGTACAAATCCATGGTAGGTCGCATATATGTACGGAGCTATAGTATTGTTGATGGTTGCTCACACGGACGCAGGGCTCCCTTGCGTACTTTGCCAAAGGACCACTATCACGAGCTCGATCGACTTTCCACTTAGATTTAGAATCGAACCTGGACATGGCCGATCTGATCGAATTCTTGAAGAGTCTCATCCTCACAACCGTCCAGATCGACAAAAAGTATCGCGAAACAATTCCTGAGATTATTACCAAGCTGAAGGACCGGATTGAGAGTTCTGATGAAGGTCGCAAGCGCAAGCGCAAGCCCAAGAAGATGAAGCTTGGCAAGAGTGGGCTATATCCGCTGGAGGATGAAAACATTATGCGGTGGTGGGCTGCGAACAAGCCAGAGCCAAATGATGAGGCTGCCACCACCTCGTCACAAGTCAAGTCTCATGTTTCCATCCTACGGACGAGGGAGACTAAGCTGCAAATGATCCTCATCATGGAGATCCTTGCACTGGAACCTCTCAAAGCTGCTGGCGAAAGCGGCGAGGCGATTCTGCCCACTTTACCTGGAGCTGCCGATTCCGGAGACCTGCTGGAGAATGCGCTGCACCCTCAACCAAAGAAGAGAAACAAGCACAATCTTCCGGTGCTGCTGGATGTCCACGCCGATCGGCTAACTATCTGGCAATCAACAGCGAGTGATGAGCAACTATTGCTAGAAGATGCACCATCTTTGCACACGCCACTGGATGGCAGCCTGGAAAAGAAGGCTTCGTCCGAACCTCTGAGAGACTTTTGCGTCGATGTTATTGTACCTTTGTAAGACTTGGTATCAACCTCTTGATGTAGTTGGACACTAACCCTCAATTAGCTTTTCTGCACGTTTGCCTGATCTTTGCGACTCAATCAACCGGAAACTTGGAGGTCCTGTGATTATAGCTCCGGCAAAGTCCAGGACTATGAAGAAGCCTTCAGGTCTGCGAGACCAGAGACCTGGTGCTGCAGCTAAGCGACCTCAACCTCCGAACGTTCGCAAGACGTTGCAGCGAGCCCTCTCTACGGAACAACAGAACCGAAGGAGTATCTCGAGGGGCCCCAGTAATGCCATTGCTCTTTTGCGATCAGCCACATCTACCACCCTTCCGACCGTCAAGCGGGAGAGCTTGGATTTGTCAGGGCCCATGTCATTGCTTCCCGACTCTCAGAGAAGGGCCCATTCACTGTCCCGAAGCAGCAGCATGAACAACCTGTTTGATGCCAGAGCTAGTAAAAAGGCTGAGGTGGATGCTGAGCTTAAGGAGGCCATTTCAGCCTTGAGGAAGCCTAACCGAGAGGTTGTAAGCAAGGCAATGGCGGAGGCAGATGAGCGTAGAACGTCGGCCAATTTGGCCACCAAGAGTAATTCAACTCCCCCAACCTGTAACATAAAAAATTGCTAACAAACTGTTTCAGAACCGAAAAGAGCACCCCCGAGGAGCATTCCGGCTTCAGCTATTCAAGTCAAGGCCACACCAGCAAACAATCGGTTCAAGAACATGATGCCAGCCAAGAAGGCAGAGAGCCAAATATTCTCTGAAGGTTTTGATGAATTAATCCCCCCATCTAGTGTGACGGCCTTTGTTCCATCTACAGGCAAGAAACCTGCTCTTAGGGAGCTGTATAAGCGCAGCCCATCTCCAGTGATGGATGCAATAGGCGACACGCCGACGAAGACTTCGGCGAAGCCCAGCTTCCTACGTCGACCCTTGAATGAACAGCCAGCATATCCTCCTTCCTCCCCCGCCGTACAGAGAACGCGGGCGCCTGAAGATTTCGTTGTAACGGATAGCGTGGTTAAACCTGCGAGAACCAGACATGAAGCTCCCGATTTGATTGAGACGCCGATCAAGAAAAGCACACAGCAGCGGCTTGATTTATATGCAACTCCTCAGACAAAGTCGCAGGAGCCGAAGGGGAAAAGCGTGTCTATTTTTGAGAGACTTGGATGGGATGACGACTTTGATGATTTATGAAATGGGAAATTTCTTATGCGTTCTGGCGAGCATAGTGGTTATGTGCATTATACTATTATATCCCTGGGTTTACTGTACTGAAGATCAATGACTTCTTTTCTCTTTTTGGGGGTTTCAGTGGAAAAGACAGCGCGGGGCGTGTGGCAACGGCGTGATGAAGCACGATGGAACAATTGGCATGAAACAAGTATTCGTTACACATGGGCGTCATACTCATGGAAGCATTAATTTGTATACATCATTAGCATGGTCGTAGCAAGATAGAGCATGAGATGAAAAGATTTGTTGCTAAATTCAGGCGGCCGCCGCCAGGGGCTCTACTATCATGGTTGGTAAGTCTCCAATATCGACGTGCTCTTGTGATCCCAAGTCGACGACCCGGATGGCTTCGAGGCCGACAACACCCTCTTGTAATGCCAGAAACTGCAGCTCTACGACGTGGCATGCACCTGGTGCGACAGGGCCAACGCGCGTATCGGCGCTGAGGCAGATGAGCTCCGACGTCTCGAGCGTGGCGCTCTTCTGCAATGCGTGGATCACGTTCTCGTCCAGCACGGCGTCTGCGATTTCCTTGTCCCCGCGGCGCCGGCCGCTGCTGGACGGGGGCCGGATTGGACGAACCTCGGCGCGTCGGCGCTTGGGCACGGCGACGAGGGCGAGCTTGCGCGGCGGGCGGGTGCTGCTGGCCTTGTCGGAGGAGCGGTTGACGACGTAGACGGTCCAGGAGAAGATGTCGCCCGGGTGGACGGGCGTCGAGGGCGCGGTGAAGGACATTGTGATGCCGAGGTCTGGTATGGAGGCCTCGGTGCGGTTCGTGGAGGCTTCCAGCGTGGGGAGGGCGTCTGGGCGGATGGCCGAGGGGGATTTCAGGTGGGTGATGACCTGGGCGACGCTGCCGATGGAGAGCTGCGTCGGGCGGTGGGCGCGCTGGATGCCGGATTCCGAGGCGGTGCCGAAGCTCGGGTTGACGGGCAGGGAGAAGTCGAGGGCGGTGGTCCAGCTCATGGTGAGGCTCGGGGTGCAGACGCCCGGGATGACGAGGACGGAGGCGGCGATGGAGATTTCGAGGCTTCCCGAGGTGTCTCTGGGGAGGGTGGTCTCGGTTTGCTGGTGCTGGATGTGGTAGAGGAGCGTGATGTGGTCGTGTGAGACGCAGCTGAGGGGAAGGCTGAGGCCGGCTTCATCATTGAGATTCTCGACGGTGCCGTTGGGGGATGTAAGTCGGATGCTGTTCAGGAGGGCCTCGCATTCAAAGTGGGAGGTGAAGTCGATTTCCAGGAGGGCGACGATGCTCCGGCTCAGGGGTATCGTGTTGGGGCGAGAGAATCTTATTCTCGTATGCAAGACTGGGAAGACCTTGATGCTCAGCTGGGGCAGTGTCCGGAGGCGTGTCATGAAGTCTTGCTGCCGCGTGACGGGGGCCACTCTCGATACCCGCAGCGCCGACAGTCGCGGCTTGACGCCATTCAGGGCAAAGTCGTTGCTGAAGGACTCGAGCAGGTTGAAGCCAGATGGCAGTCCGCTTGGAAGATAGCCGACGTCAGGGGCAACGGGCTCAGTCCAGAGATCCGGGTCGAGGCTTGCGGACGCCGAAAAGACGACGGCCGGACTGTGCAGTCGCATTCGGGGCCTTATGAGGAGCACGGGTAGCTTCCACATGGCGTACACAAACCGCGGCTCTTCCTCTTCCTCCTCTTCCTCGACATCGCTCCCGTATTCCCTCTTGTCCTCGATGACGAAGGGCTTCTTTGTCTCCTTGAGCCTCCCGCTGAAGATGCTCTCAGAAGAGTTGGGAGAGTCGCGGCCAGGGACACTGCCATTGGCTACCTGAGCCTCTAGCGATATACTTATCCTACTAAGATGGTAGTCCAACTCTTTCCGCGGGAGCCATGGCGTCTTGAGAACAAGCAGGACATCAACAGTTTCATCTTATATGTGAGTCCATGTTAGTGACTGAGTTTCATGAGCGGTGAGGCTGAGCTGGTTGCCGGCCCCATACCAAAAAATAACGTGTCTCTTTGCTCTATTATTTCAGATACGGTCTTGGAGCCATCAAAGCCTTCAAGTGCTTTTTCCAAGTCAATGTTGGTCTCAGCCGGCACGAGATATGTCAGGTAAGAGTTGTTGATGAGGTCGGTTGCCGCATTGGTGGTGGATATGGTTAGTTGAACAGGAGTCAGCTGCCCGGGCGTAGAAGGATTGCGAGCTGACATGACGAAGCAAAAAGGAAAAATAGGAGATTCGTTATGGTCTCATGTATATAATTATAATAGGCGTTCCTCCTCTCTCATGAATTATAAGATATAATAATACAATAGTGATTAATGGTAGGCGGGCAGTAATAATGAAATGACCAGCTCACCTAAATTCCCACTAAGCTCCAGCGTTGACAGACTCTCTTCAGCCCCCCCTGATAAGCCACTACAGGGCCCAGCTGCAGCCCCGGTTATGCGGAACCCGGTTAGTTGCATAAGAACTGCCCGAGGTGGTCCGTGCACGCTGGAAAGATGCGTGTCTCGCGCCATTGCTGCACCCAAGCTTGGTTCAAAATTTTGGTACGACAACAGCTTCAGGCCAGCATCGACTCCGCCATCGCCGTCGCCCGCGCTCATTGAGGCGTGCCCGAGACTTTGATCGCGAGAATCTCCTCTTGAACGACGCTTCAGGGCACAATCTCCAGCGCCTGCAGGATGAACGGCTTCGCGCCTCCTTTCCCTCAGCCGGCTTCGGCCTGGCAAGAGCACAAGACGCCAGAAGGCCGGGCCTACTATTACAACAATGTGACCAAGGTGACGCAATGGACCAAGCCGGAGGAGATGATGAGCGCGGCAGAGGTGAGTTGTATCTTTCTGTCTCCAGCATGCCTTATTCAAGCCCATCTGGTACCAGCTCAGACCCAGTGATGCTAACGCCATCTCTTTCTTCCCACAGCGCGCTCTGCAGTCCCAGCCATGGAAAGAGTATACCGCAGAGGGGGGTCGCAAGTATTGGTACAATACCGAGACGCAGCAGAGCTCTTGGGAAATGCCCGAAGCATTCAAGAAGGCTTTAGGTTCGACTGGTGGGCCGAGCAACCCCGTTCCCCAGACTACTCCATATGCGCAGGGTGGCGGTTATCCATCTACAGGACATGACTATCAACGCGATTCCCGCGATGCTCGCGATTCCCGTGACAATCGAGAACCCTATCCCGAATCTCGCCAGTTGACATATGGAAATGATTCCAAGTCACAGCAAGCCTTCGTCCCCGCCACGAATGATCCGGAATACGCCACTCTCGAAGAGGCCGAGGCAGCTTTCGTTAAACTGCTAAAACGAAGCGGCGTCCAGCCAGACTGGACTTGGGAGCAGACCGTTCGTGCCATTGCTCGGGATCCCCAGTTTCGTGCTATCAGGGACCCAAAAGACAGAAAAGATGCCTTCGAGAAGTACTGCCAGGACGTCATCCTCCAAGACAAAGAGCGTGCCAAAGAGAGGCTGACCAAATTGCGTGGTGACTTCGAGACGATGCTGAAGCGGCACCCCGAAATCACCCACTACACTCGATGGAAGACGGCTAGACCCATGATCGAAGGAGAGACCATTTTCCGTTCCACTAATGATGAGGACGAGCGCCGCCAGCTCTTTGAGGAGTATATCATCGGACTTAAGAAGGCTCACAAAGAACAGCAGGCTAGCCAGAAGAAGAGCGCCATGGATGGCCTGATCGACTTGCTCCCCAAGCTCAATCTCGAGCCATACACTCGCTGGGCGGATGCTAGAGACATCATCTCTGCAACCCCGACCCTCCAAGAAAATGAAAAGTATAGAACCCTCAGTCAATTTGACATATTGACTGCTTTCCAAAATCACATGAAAAGTTTGGAGCGAGCCTTCATTGAGTCTAAACAGGAGGAGAAGAGTCGAAGATTCCGCAAGGAACGCAAAGCCAGAGATGCTTTCAAATCTCTGCTAGACTCTCTCCGCAAGGACGGCAAGATTAATGCCGGCACCAAATGGAGCCAGGTTATTCCTCTTATTGAAAACGACGAACGCTACCTCAACATGGTTGGTCAGGCCGGATCTACCCCTCAAGAGCTATTTTGGGATGTGGTGGAAGAGGAAGAGCGATCGCTTCGCGGTCCTCGAAATGAAGTGCTCGATGTCCTCGAAGTAGGTTTTTATGGTTTATCCTCTTGAACGTGATGCATACTAACTTGTTCGGTAGGATAAGCGGTTTGAACTCACCCCAACTAGTGATCTTGAGGAATTTCTGTCCATCATGAAAGATGATCACCGTACGGCTAACATTGATCGTAACACGCTCGAACTTATTTTCAATCGCGTAAGATACAAACCTCCTCCTATTTTCTGGATCTTCAGTCCATGCTGACATGGTTCCCCTTATCAGCTGCGTGAGAAGCGCGCCTCGAAGCGCGAAGATGAGAGACAACCGGATCGACAGCAACGTCGGGCCATTGATGATCTTCGTGCTTATATTAAGCGTCTCGAGCCGCCAGTCGCGCTGAGCGATACTTATGAAAAGGTACGACCTAGACTACTGAAATCAGACGAATTCCAAGCCGTCACTTCGGAAGAGTTCCGACGAAGTGCCTTTGAAAAACATCTCCGCAGGTTACGCGAGAAGGATGAAGCCGATCGTGCCTACCGACGCCATGAACGACCCTCTATCGAAAGAGAGGTCTCGAGGCGTGAAAGGGATCGATCTCGCGGCGAGCGTTCACATCGTGGTGGTGGCCGTGGCGGTCGGCGCAGCCGTAGTCCGGAGCCCGACGCGTACGAGGCAGACCGGCGAAAGGCGATTGCTGAGCGTGAGCGAAACCATCGCAAGTCGACCATGGCAGAGAACCTCTTATCGACTGACCGTGGTCGACTGTCGCCCCCGCCATCACGCCGTGAACGAGATCGTGACCTGGATCGTCCCCCCCGTCCTAGGCGCGATGACGACGCCTTCTATGATCGCGAGCGCAGAGACCGGGAGGATGAGAGAGAACGTCTCTATCGCCGTCGCGCCGACCGAGGTTCGTATGATGAGCTCCCCTATGGAGATGAACGCCCAGCAGCTCCTCGACGTCGTCGACAGGAAGAGGAAGACGACTATGCCCGCCGGGATTCCCGGGATTCAAAGGTACGTCTAACATCACTACATTCCATATTCGCACTGAAGCCATTTCTTCTCACACATTCGTACAGAGGCTCAGGAGAGATCGATCACGTGAGCGTTCCCCCCCTCGTGATGGACGTCAACGCAACAGGACCCCCGAACCAGCCAAGGATGTTCGAAGCGGCAGCGAAGAGGGCGAGATTGAAGAATAATCGAGCCCTCAAGCCCGATTGCTCTCACTTAACCCTCCGCTCTTGTCTGGCTAGTAAGCTTTTCTTCACTTGTATTGCTGGACTTCTTTCGCCGCTTTTTTTATTCCCCCATCTCCGGAATGTAAGAAAATTTATGTAGCTTTCAAACAAATGACTAGATCTGAACGTTGTAGTCAGGACAGGCTTGTTTACGAGAACAGCTTCGTGTAATATGTTGAATCAGGGTACATTAACCACTTTTAAGATAGCTCAAGGAAAAGTCTTTATCTCTCTTCTCTGTCTTCTCACGTCCCCGTTATGTAACTGTAAAAGTCAATCTTGTAACGATCCAAATCAATTTCTTTTATTCTGTAACTTGACAGGTAGCTATGAAAGAGTTTCCCGCGAGGTAGGAAACCTGACGACAGTCATCCTGCTTGATCCATTGTCCCTCCATCTGCAGAAGTGTTGGTCGGTGGTTATATACACACGTAATGGACCGCCTTCAAGCAATTTCCCGCAGGACCAGACAACAGGGGATAGGCTGCCGTCGCCATTGTCACTCATCTGGGTCGTCATCCTCGCTGACGCCGTCCATCTGTAGTCCAACCTCATGGTCGCCTCCATCTATGCGAATTACAAGCGGAGCGCAAGAATGGATACCACAAACGTCTGGAAATGCATCACGTTGATTCTGATCGTGGTTGCCCTTTTCAAGCACTTTCTTCGGGCTTCTCTTCCAAGAAGAACTGTAAAATGAGAATGTCAGTATAAGAAACATAGAAAGTGTTAGGTTCGTGTCACTTACGAAGTTGCCGCTCATCTTCTGCTCTTGGTCGAGCTGAGAGCCAAGCTTGTTAATACGAGGACGGAAGTTGCTTGGGTCACGACGGAAAGTGACATCCAGGTTCTTCAAGAAGGTGTTACAACCGGTGAGGAGAGACTCGGGTCTGTTGGCGTGGGCGTCAATACCGGGCTTGCCGTCAAAGACAATGACACGATCAGCGAGATAGGTGGCCATGATGAAATCGTGCTCGACGATAAAGGCAGTCTTCTTGGAGTGCATGATGAAACGCTTGATGACTCGAGAGGCGATGATACGCTGCTCAGAGTCAAGGTAGGCAGAGGGCTCGTCAATGAGGTAGATATCGGCAGGCATGCCCAGAGAAAGAACAATAGCAACACGCTGCAATTCACCACCGGACAGGTTCTTGACTTCCTGATCAATGAAGTCGTCGAGCTTGAGAGGCTTGACGACGTCGGTCTGGAACTGAGGAGACAGGAAGGCCTGCTTGATCTTCTTGAAGAACAGCTGGCGAACAGTACCCTCGAACTTGGGGGTAATGGTCTGAGGCTTCATGCTGATCTTCATGTCAGGAACAGAGCCCCTGCCATCAGGCTTGAGGGCACCGGCAAGAAGACGGCAGAAAGTGGTCTTGCCAGTTCCGTTCTCTCCCATCATGACGATGATCTCGGAATCGGTAAACTCTCCGGCATCAATGCGAAGCTTGAAGTTGCCGAGCGTCTTCTCCATGCTGGGGTAGTTGAAGGCGCGGGACTTGTCAATGGCGAAGTCATCGGTAGCCTCGGCGAGACGGAATTGAAGAGACTCGTCACGGAATCGCAAGTTCTCCGTGGGGATGTGACCATCCAGGAAGATGTTGATACCTTCACGAACAGAGTGAGGCATGGTGACGACACCATAGATGGCAGGCTTTCCGTAGAGAACGCAGACGTAATCGGAGAGGTAGTCAAGAACAGACAGATCGTGCTCGACGACAATGACGTAGTCGTCGTCACGGAGCAGCGAACGAATCATCTTGGCGGCACTCAGACGCTGCTTGACATCGAGATATGAAGAGGGCTCGTCAAACATGTAGACATCGGCCTTCTGGACGCAAACAGTACCAATGGCGAAACGCTGAAGCTCACCACCAGACAGGAGAGTGATGTCACGGTCCATGATGTGCTCGAGCTCCAGGACGCTGGTCACTTCGGACATGTTACCAAGAGTGTGGCGGCTCTCCAGAAGAGCCTTGACGCTCTTCTCCGGGCCACGGACAGCCTTGGGGATCTGGTCAACATACTGGGGCTTGACAACAGCCTTGAGATCGTCCTCCAGAAGCTTGGTGAAGTAGTCTAAAGTCGATGTTAAAAATACCGCTTGGAGATGGAATCTGTCACGGGTAAAATTTCGTTCACTTACTCTGGAGTTCGGAACCACGGAAGTACTTGATGACGTCCTCCCAGTCAGGGGGGTTGTCGTGGCGGCCCAAGTTGGGCTTGAGCTTTCCGCTGAGAATCTTCAGCGCGGTACTCTTACCAATACCGTTGGTTCCGACAAGACCAAGAACCTGGCCGGGTCGAGGCATGGGCAAACGGTGGAGCTTGAAGCTGTTGGGGCCATATCGGTGGGTGACCTGGCTCTCGAGGTTGGTGGGCAGGTTGATAATGGTAATGGCGTCGAAGGGGCACTTCTTGGGGCAGATACCGCAACCAATACACAGCGACTCGGAGATGAAGGCGAGGCGGGACTCAGGAGTGACTTCGATACAGAGCTTTCCACTGCGAACCACAGGGCAAGACTTCTTGCACTCCTGACGACATTTGCGAGGACGACACTATTCGAAGAGGCCAGGGGTCAGCATATCTGGTATCGCTGATAGCGGGGTGATCGGCGGGGGATGCAGATTTTCATCGTGAACTCACTTTGTCGGTGTTGACAATGGCGATACTAGATGCCGCAGGTTAGCAACAAGTCGAAGATATCTTTAAACCGCGACATGATACGGTAACTGGCATAGCAAGAGACAGCTAATGTATCTCGTCGGTGGTACCTACCGGGTGAGCTTGTCCGCCATGATGGAAACTTGACAGTCGGAGGTCTGTCTAGGGTAGCAATGGATTCGACTCGATGGTCCCCCGTGAGAGCTGCAAAATCTCAGCTGCGACTGTTGAACAGGATCTGCAACGAGGTGGCGCGCGAGAAGCTGAGCTGGGGAGTGCAGAATAAAAGGAAAAATCAGATTGACGGGGAGAGTGGGCAACTTTTAGCTCTGGAACAGCAAGGTGTGTGGTCATCAATTTTTCTCGCCCTGTGAATGGCGGGGCTTAGGCCCTTTTCTGGGGAGGGCAGCTGGGGGGGACGGACGATGTTAGCTGCGGCGCTGGAGAGATGTACCTGCGCTGCGAATTTAGCGGGCAGAGGGACCTTGTGGAATCTGTGGTGCTATCTTGGCTTGTCTTCCAAATGCATGCGATGGACATCTGACAGGATCAAGAGCATACCTTATACGTGTAGTATCAAGAGACACATGAACAATAGAAGCTGAGCAAGAAATTGGCGAAATTATTGTGTCAGAGTACAAGATACTGATTGCGCACCAAGCACATTACCATGCAAATGCTCGTTGCCTACAATTCGATGACCTCCATCCCTAGCGCCTTGTTCTTATACTTGAATCTATCACGCATTAACAAGACTGAACTCTTGTTTGATGGCTTTTCTTTTCCTTATTCTCGCCTCGCCTTTCCACCTCTCCGGAGACTTTGCAGAATTTGGCGCCACATTTCGACGAGACATCTTCTGCAGGAGTCATATTCGATGTAGATAGAACTCACTCTGTTTCCCAGTTGATGGCGGTTTATAGTTCCCACACAGCCCATCGGTATCTTCCTGGCTTGTAACATCTACGTACATCAACGCCCAACTCGTAGAACCTTATTCTGCCTCTTTTCTGTTTCCCTATCAACGGAAAATATGGGAAAATCCGGTAGTCTAATCTGGGGAGTATAGAGCTCGAGTTGTCCCTCTGCCTTCTTTTCCTCCCAAACCACACCTCACATTCTCTACAGTAACAGCTGACTCTGCTCTCACTTTGTGGTCACCGATTACCACTCCCGTCTTGCACTGAGTAAGGTAACAAAACCTCGCTATTTCAAGACGATCAAGAAAATTTCTGTTGAAACTCTATACCTTTTATCCTGACATCCTTAAAACTCCGGCTCTGCATCTGCACCCGCATCTGCACCTGCATCTGCGTCTGAGTCTGAGTCTGAGTCTACGATCACCACTTCAGTTCTGCATTGAGCAGGACAACAAAACCACCCAATTTCAACACAATCAAGAAAACATCTGTTGAAATTCTACAAATTTTATCCCGATATCTTTCAGACCTCGACTCTGCCCCTGCGTCTGAGTCTGCTTTCGTTGATTACTATCAGCATCAACATCAAACATCGCCATAGCCAAAGCGCTGGAACGCTTTGGAATATTTAAAGAACTTCTCCAGGGAATTTTCTCCAACACAATCACAATCACAAAGATTGCAGCAAACTCATTACTTGACAAATCCAATCCAATTCAATCATTCTCTGCAGGCTTCGCACTTTCTGGCAATATCGTCACAGTTGCACCCAAGCACCCCCAGCAGCAGAAATTCCGGGGTTCTGAGGTCCAAAGCGCCAGCCACGTGACTGCAGTGGTCTCTAGCGGCTTCAGCAGTCAGCAGAGCGCCAAACCACCCCAACAGGGCTTGGCTTGGGTACAAACACGCCGGCCGAGCCTTCGGCCCTCCGCCCCGTTGCCTCCAATTCTTTCCTGCCTCTCTCCACCAGCGCATTTTTGTCACCTCCGGCCGTCTCTCGACACCTCAACCCTCGTGGCCCTTCCGCCCACCGGAACATCGCCAGACTCGCCCGAACGAGCCTGTGGGCTCCTGTCATTCCTTGTGGTGTCACAGGTCATTGATTGATTACTGGTAAGTCGCTGCTGTCTCCTTGCACTTGCTGTTGCCGCCCGCAGCCCTGTGGCCTTGCGTCTTGCCCGCTGATCCAGCCACGACTTGACCCGGACGCGTCCATGGGCCGGCTCTCCGGGGCCCGGATCAAGGCAAGATGAGGTTTGTTTCGATGGAATTGGCTGCTGCCGGTGATGCCGATGCTTCCAGGGCCCTCAGATGGGCTCCCAGGCGGTGGCCAAGTCTCCAATTGCTGGTGATGGCGTCTCTCAGCCTTGCCAGCACTTACACACGTGGGATGCCTTGGATTGGCATTGCTTCACGATTCCAAAGCAGTATTGCTTTCTAGGCTGATGATCGCGGGTCGCCGACTTGTTCTTTCACCGCCTCTTCACTGGGGCGGACGCGTAACTTGAAATTCATGATGCTAACTGCCGTCGGTTCTGTAGGAGTTCCATCTTCGCGGATACCTCCATCATGTCCTCTCCCAGCGAGGGGGACCCCTCCAACGGAAATCTGTCGCCGGATGACTCCATGACTTTTTCAGCTGT